CACTGCCTGGACAGAGGAGCCCTCCTGAACCCCCATCTAAGCCAGCCCCCCCCCCGGCCCCTCTGCCCCTTCCTCCTGCCTCACTTTCTCCGCAGCGTCTCACTGGCAGCTTCATCCTTTCCCGGGTGTCCCTGCAAGGACAGGAGTCCCAGGCAGCTGCAGGCTCCTGCTCACTGCTACCCTCCAGGGCCTGAGCACCATGCCAGCCACTGCCAGACCTCCATGACCCTGTGTTAAGCGGGTCATCTACACCAGCCTGTTCAGTGCACACTTTAGGGCACTGTTTATCTCTGTGGCTTTGTGGCGTCTTTATTTTCCTTTCTGAGATGGTCTCTAGATTCAAGATGCAATTAGTTTGGAAAAGCCTCTATAGTCTGTCTCAGGAATCCACAGTGCACATTAGCATATTAAAGGCTCTGAGAATTCCTACAAAAAAGAAATCGGAATTCTGCTTTAGGAGGCGCTTACTGGACCCCAGAATCCCTTCCCCGTGCCATCCCACAGAGCTGCTGCAGCTCCAAACCCCATGCTGAGGCCCTGCCTCTCCATCCAATGGCCTCCCCTCCCCTGGGCCAGGCCAGCACAGCCCATGTGGGAAGCTGCAAGGGAGGGGGCCTTGTTCCTCCACCTGTCCATCTCAGGGTGTGCCTGTGGAAGGACCGGCAAGTCAGCTACTCCAGCCTGGCACGCACCTGCCACTTTGCCCACTTTGGGAGCCCAGCTTGGAGGAGGGGAGCTCAAGGTACAGGATGCTGCCAGGACCAGGGAGACTCCGGCTGAAACGCCCGCAAGGTCTGGAAAAAATCTGGCACTGGACCAGGAAAGAGGGGAATTCAGAGAATCCTGGAGCAGGAAGGACACCCCCCAGCAGGAGAAGTGGGTCCAAGCCCCACGGCACCCAGGACACAGGCTCCGTCCATAGGGCCTCTCAGGCTCAGAAAGCCCCGGTCATGAGGCCCAGCCGTCCCACCCAGCACTAAGTCAGTGGCTCTCAGGGAAATCATAACGCGATTAGCAGCTTCCAGCCAGTCTCTCACGGACATTAGCACACTCCTCGCTCCTACACAAACACGGCGGGCTCCCAGGCCCCGACATTGTCCTCTGTGGCTGGGTGCATGTCACACGGAAGCAAATAAATTTCACAATGGCTGGGGGAGGGGGACCTCAGCAGTTCAGGGGCCTCCCCCGCCCTTCCCCTGCCAGCAGGGGCTGGAGGGCAATGGAGAAATGGGAGGGGCAAAGGGTGAGAAACTAAACGGCGGATGCAGAGCCAAGCCTTGACCACCAGGGCCCTCTCCAGAGTGAGTGCCTGCCCACTCACAAGGACAGCGGTGCCCGGGGCTGGGGAGCAGGGAGGAACCTGGCCATTGCGGCCCCAATGTCCACAGGCACACTGGCGTAGCTGCTGCTGGGGTCAGGGGCTTGTGTTGGGTGGGAGTCTCAGGGTCCCAGCAGGTACTGAAGCCCCTCGGCTGAGAGTCGAACATGGCTGCTCCTGTGGGATCCAAAGAAACCCCCAGCTCTGGCCAGCCCAACATCCTCACACAGTGGCCCACAGAGGAGAGGCCTACGGGTCCAAGCATGCAGCCCACTCCGATGCCTAGACAGGAGGCCTCGTGCTGCGGGGAGGTCCAAAAGCCCTGGCCAGGCCCCCCGCTGACCCTGACTCCCTGCTCCTTCTCTGACAGTTGGGGCTCCGGGGCAGCCCCCCAGACACTCCTGAAGCCCACAGCACCGCCCCGCGGGCCCCCACTGGCCCTCACCTGTCCAGCCTCAGTTCTGCAGGCCTTGTCACAGCCTGGCCACCCGAGAAGCATCTGCTCAGGGCCAGCCTCCCAGCCGTGAGCGCCACGTGGGCAAGCACCTGCTGCCAGGGTCCCCTAACACCCAGTGCTCGGCAGCAGCTGAGTCAAAACCCAGCAAACAATCGAATGACCAAACAAATGAATGAAGCAGCGGCCAGCACAGGGCGGGCCAGGCAGCACCCCTGCAACGCCTGGGGCTCAGGCACAGGGCGGGCCAGGCAGCACCCCTCCAACGCCTGGGGCTCAGGCACAGGGCGGGCCAGGCAGCACCCCTGCAACACCCGGGGCTCAGGCATAGCCCTGGTGAACCTTGACTCCCACCCACTGCTGCCCACCAACCCCCACCCTTGCTGGGACACCACAGTGGGGTGAACAGGGAGCGGCCGGAGGAGATCACAGGGCTTCCCTCAGCCATGAAACAAGCAAATAAAAGCAAACACACAAACAAGCCAATCCTGCGCTAAAAATGAATTTTTAAAAACAAATAAAAACGGAGCCAAAGCCCACATCCAGGATCTGTGTGAGGACCCCACCGACGTGACAGCCAGGACCTGCCCCACCCCTGCCCCTGCCGATGTGATGGCCAGGACCCCCCCCTCCCCCGCCCCCTCCCACATGAAGGCCAGGACCTCCCCCTCCCCCACCCCCCAGCCCCAGCCTCAGCCCAGCCCCTCCACACGACCCAGCCCAGGCTGTCCTGGGGAAGGTCTCGGCCAAGATGCCCTCCACTCCACTCCAGCCAGCAGGGCCAGTCCAGGGCGGAGCCACCATGTTCTTCTAAGGCCCGAGGGTCCCATATGGGGATGGCGGCTGGTGCCTGGCCACAGCACAAGGGGACAGAGCTGTCAGGGTGGGCCCAAAGCTCACCTGGAGCCAGGCTGGTGATGGAGATGGGCACATTTGCCAAGCCCTGCTGGGACCATTGAGACACTGTGGTCCACACATCGGGAGAGGCTGAACCACCTCGAGGGACTGGCCTGGCCCCTGCCCTCGAGCCTGACCCTGGGACTGTCACTGCCCACGAAGGGGACGGTAACAGGAGAACACGGCTGGGCACACCTCTGCCTGCGGCTGCCTTCCTTGCCTCGGCTCTCCACCCCCGCCCTGCCTTGGACCCCAGGCCTTCCTTGCCTGGGCTCTCCACCTCCGCTCCTCTTAGGACCCCAGGTTCGGGGCATCCCCACCCCCACCCCAGCCATCCATGTCGCTGTGCCTTCCTGTCCCCTCCTCGGAGCAAAAAGCCCGTTCTCCCCCAGTAAACCCTGGGGACACGGGCTGGCGGCCCCACTTCCTCTCCCTGCTCCCCCCCCACACTCCAAGCTGCTTATTGTTTTACCCCATTATTAGAGTCCCCTTTGGCAGGCCCCAGAGCCCCCGCCTCAGAGCGGAAACCCGGAAACCCGGGGGAACCTCGGCTTTGATGTCTGCCCCCTCCCGACTCAAAAGACCCCTTTGTTCCTCCCAGACTACAGGAGCAGAGAAACAGGGCACAGCTCAGGCAGCATCAGGGAGTTGCAGGCTCACCGACAGTGGGGGCTGGAGCCCCCTCCGAGGGGCGGTTGGTGGGGCCCTCTCCCTGCTGCCAGCAGGAGGCCCGGTCACCTCCTTCTTCCTCCTTACTCTCCTCCCTTCCTGGAGAGAATTACCCACTTCCTCTACTGGAAAAACATCTCTATCATCCCTTCTCTTCCCTTTTCCCACTGGAGTTCGTGCCAGGACAGGTGACTCCATCCCCGGTTTGCAGCCCGCATGCTTCCTGTGTGAGGAGAGGACTTGCGGCTCCAGGAAACTACCTGCCAGGAGGACCCCTAGGGCTGGGTCCTGTTCCTGTTACAGGAGCCCAGGGGAGCCCACCGTCCCTTCACCCTCAATGTAGGGAGTGTTGGCCGGACATGGTGGCTCACATCTGTAATCCCAGCACTTTAGAAGGCCAAGGCGGAAGGATCACTTGAGCCTAGGAGTTCAAGACCAGCCTGGGCAACATGGTGAGACCCTGAAAAATACAGAATTATTCAGGTGTCATGGTGCACACCTGCAGTCCCAGCTACTCGGGAGGCTGAGGTGGGAGAGTGGCTTCAGCCCAGGACTTTGAGGCTGCAGTGAGCTATGACGGCGCCACTGCACTCCAGCCTGGGTGACAGAGTAAGAACTTGCCTCTAAAAAATAAACATAAACAGTAAAAATAAAAGTGTGGGGAGTGCGTGACTCCAAGCCACACCCCGGTGCAGCCTGTGCCTCACCGGCAGGATGCCACACAGCCGTTTCAGGAGAGGCCGGCTCTGAGTCCCGCTCCCGGGACCTCTGTGCCAGCCCCTCCAGGGAGGGACACTGACCCCTTTGGCCTGGCAGCTTCACCTGCCAGGCTCCTGTCCCTGTGCCTGAAATCTTCCCAAACACCTCTGTCGCTGTGAGCCCCATTCCTTTTACATAGCAGAGGCTTGAGATGCGAGCTGTCTGAGCTCATACCAGCCGATTCCAGTCCCGGCCTCCACCTCTGAGCCCCAGCAGCCCACCAGCACCTGCCCTGGTCAGGTGGTATGCAGCACGGACCTCTCAAACTGTGCTGGCTACATGGGCACGACCCCTCTCCGCAGGCCCCCCACCCCATCCAAGAAGCAGATACTGAAGTTCCATTCAGCAGACAAGATGACCAAGGCCCAGGCACCTGGCCTGCCCAGGAACGCCAGCAAGTGGGAGAGAGGAAAGAGGGGCTCCCCGCATCCACTGAGGCTGAGGCCTGCCACCCAGCCCAGACTGGCCTTGGAAGAATGTGATGTAGGGAAACAGGGCAGGGAGAGGGACCGGGGGCGGGGAGGGGTGGTGAGTATGGAAGTTGCAGGTAAACCCCGAATAGGGCTCAGGGGTGAATGAAGCCACAGACACCAATGCGTGGCCCCAGGACACCCTCAGACACCCTGCCAAAGGCAGGGTCCCATCCTTGGGCAGAGCCAGCCAAGTGGACTGACCCCACTCAGCCCCAGCTCTCTCTTCCCGCAGCTCTGCCAGCCTCAGCTGACGCCTTTTGTGCAGCCTTTGGCAGGCGGCGTGGCTGAGCAGGTGGCCCCTGAGTCTCTTGTGCTGCTGGGAAAGGGTGCTCCTCACCAGGCCCAGCGCAGACTCAGGTTGCAGATTCACCACCCTGCTGAGTCCTCTGGGGTGGAGGGAGGGAGGCAGGGAGGTGCAAGCGGGACTCACCCGAGAGGCAGCCCTCCTCACTGGGCAGCTGTGCCCACCCTCCGCAGCATCTGAGCACAGTCCGGGCCTCTGTGGTATACACCTGCCTGTAGCCCAGGTAGTAGATGGTTCTAGAAAGGAAGGGAGAAGAGAAGTGCTCACCGTCGAGGGACCGGCTGCATTTGGCTCTCACCGCACCCCTGGGGAGACAGACTGCATCAGCAGGGCTCCCAGCTGCACAGCCTGCGACCCCCAGGTGCCCTGGTGCGGTGGCTGATGCCAACACCCAGTCAGGTTCCTCTGAACAGGGGGGCAGTGTTGGAGGCAGCAGGAGCCGGCGACAGTGGCCTCATGCTTCACTCAACCTCCGCCTCTGCCCAGCGCCCTCCCACCCCACAATGGTTCTGGCTCCAGGCTGGCGTTGGGATGCACATCTCACTCCTCACCCAGCTCTCAGTGCCAGGCAGCTCCATGAGGGTCTCGGGGAGTTGGAAGTGCCTGGCCCTGGAGCCAGGATGGCTTCTGGGATGAGCCAAGTGGGCCCACAGTGCCTGAAGCTGGGCGGGCTGTGCCAGGCACGGGAGGTGCCGGTCCAGACCCCAGGCTCTCAGTCCAGCAGTGAAGTAGACGGTCCCAGTAGGGGCCCCAAACACAGGTGCTGTGGCCACTGCCCCCACACCTAGGAGGACAAAGCTGAGCTGGGGTGACAGGTGAAGCGGTTATGGGCAGCAGCAGGAGGTCCTGTGTGGGCCCAGGTCAGAGAGGAGACACCATGGCGGGCAGGAGGGAGGGCTTCCCAGGAGCAGTGTGGCCAGGGCAGCCTTGGTACATAGGCTGGCTCCTGATCAAATGGGACCAGCTGGGGCTGTCACTAAGGCTAAGCAGAAAATGGCAGGGTCCCCTGGGAGATGGCAGGGTCCTCCTGGGAATGGGCAGCCTGATCTGGCCAGCCTGACAGGGTGCCCACAGCCAGAGAGACCCCAGCTACCCAGAGGACATGCCATCCCCCTCCCCAAGTCCAGAGGCTGCCCCAGGCTGCCAGCACCGGCCCCCTCCAGCCACCCTGAGCCATCCCCTGCCTAAACCCCTCTCCATCCCGCTCCCAAAGGCATCACCAGTCCCCACACATGGGAGGTCTTGGCAGAGCACTCGGCAGGGGGCCTGCCTCTGCCACTTAGGGACTCGCCCTGAGTGGTTCAGCCAGAAACCTAGAGCAGAGGGAGGCTGGAGGTGAGGGCACCCAGCCCACACAGCCCAGCAGCCTCCCACCACCACATCCCCGGCCTGCAGCTCAGGGACCGTGTTCCTCCTAGCCTGGGCCTCTTCCAACTCGAGCTGCCCCACACAGGGTGCCAACCGCTCCCTCCAAGCCCCCTAAAGTGAAAGACCCTTGGAGACGGCTGGTGGACTGCAGCCCCTGTGAGGACCACCCTACGCTCCCATTCCCTGCAGCCACCATCAGCTCACAGGCTCCGCCGCCACCAGGGAGCTGATTCAGGCAGGGCTGGGGTCATCAGTGGGACCAGGCTGCCAGGTCCACACCGGTGCCTACTCCTCTGCCTTCTGGAAGGTTCGCTGCCTCTCCAGGAAGCTCCTTTCCTGCTTTGTCAGAGTGTGGGTCACATCAGCCCCAGGATCTACCCGCTGACCTCACTGTTCTTCCTCAGAGAGCTGCGCTGATGCCTGGGTCCTCACTCTGTGGCCCAAACAGCCTCCACCCTCACTCTTGCAAGGACCAGCAAGACAGACGGCCACCTGTGGCCATTTGCCCACCTTGACGCCCTGTCTCTCTCTGCTTGCTCTGCAGTAACTAATGGCCCCACAAATTCAGGTCCACTGGATGTGGCCTTACTTGGAAATAGGGCCTTTGCTTCAGCAGCAATCAAGCTAAGACGAGGCCATCCATAGTGGATGGGGGGCCCTAATCCAGTGACTGGCGCCCTTACAGGAAGAGGGCAATCTGGACGCAGTCACAGGGACGGCTACGTGAAGAGGAAGGCAGAGGTGGAGGAGACGGCCACAAGCCAAGATGCTCCCAGACGCAACAGAGCTGGGAGCTGTGGCAGACGCTGCCTCAGGGCCCTGCAGGGGCCCAGCCTGCCCGCACCTTGATCTCGGACTTCCGGCCTCGGGAACTGGGCGAGAATAAAGCCCTGCTGTTTGAAGCCACCTGGTTTTCGGGGCTCGGTGCAGCGGGGGCAGGAAACTCTTGCACAGCTCGCTACGTGGCACATGCCACAGGTCCCACGGGCCTTTGTGTGTGCAAGGACAACTGATCACGTGGATGTGGCAGGGGAGGATGGAGAGAGGCAGAGAGAAGCAGAGAGGAACACAGATGAGACAGAGAGACATGGAAAGAGAAGAGTAACGGAAAGAGCAGAAGATGCACTGTACCCCTCCCCCCTGCCCAGGGCCTGCCCTGCAGCCTGCGGACCCCAGAGCCAGCCACCCTCCCCCACCCCAGCCTCTGTCTGCAGGGGCGGTGACCAGAGGCCCAGCCAACAGCCTGGGGTCAAGGGCCCTTGAGCCTCTGGGAGCAGCCAGGGCAGCTAGGCTGCCATCTCTGATCACAAAACACCCGCAGCTTGCCGGGGCTGCTGCATGGGAAGCTGGAGGTGGGCCCTGGGGACTCTGACCCAACAAACAAGCGGGCCAGTGGCCGGTGGGCGGGCCGCTTCCCGGAAGCCTGCTGATGCACGCGCGCTGCAGAGACGCTCTGGAGCACCTTGCAAAGCCCGGCTTGGCAGGACATGAAACCACTTGGCCGGACAGAAACCGACCGCCGTGGCCAACAGTATTCAGCAGAGCTGAGTGTCTGGGCCGTTGCAGTAAATATTTATCCCCTCTCTGGGGCTGCGGCGGTGCTGGGATACGTGCTGCTCCCCGGGCCGCTGACCACCCCCTCCATCCCCGCTAAAGAGAATGACCCTTGCAGCCCCTGAGGACTGCCCCATGAGGACCAACCCTCCATTCCCCCTCGGCCAGCACCAGATCACACAGGTGCCACCACCGCTGGGGAGCTGGTTCATGCAGGGTGGGGTTGTGGGGGTAATGAGGCCAACCCCGGGTGCCCACTCCTCTGCCTTCTGTAGCCACCAGCTCACAGTGGAAGCTGAGGCTTAGGGAGTGTGGCCTGGTGGGAGGGACCTGAGCGGCCAAGCCACCATCAGTGCCCCTCCCTCACCCCTTCCCCAGAAGGCGGGAGCCCCTTTATTGACAGGTCCCCCTGGCCATGTTTGTCGGGGAAGTACCCCCAAGGGGCTGACAGCACGACCCCTGAAGACCCAGGCATCCTCCCAGCTGTATTGCAGCCCTGCCCGAACCCAGCAGCCCTGCCTGAGGCAGGCAGCAGGCTCTACAGCCCAGAAGCCAGGGCTGGGATACCACCCGCTGTCTTCCAGCTGCAGCCACCACAACACAGCCAGCCCCGCGGGCTCATCTAACCCTCACCACTGCAGCAAGTCAGGTGGGGAAACTGAGGCTACAGCAGGTTCCCACCCCACCAGGGCTCATCCAGCCCAAGGTCTCCTGGGATCCCCACCCTGCTTGACTCCCCTAAAGAGCTCAGTAGAGGAGGCTTCTCCTTGTCTGTCCAGGGCAGGAGGGTGGGGCCTGCCCTGGACAGACAAGGCACTGGGCACCAGGCAAGCCAGGGTGCCCTCAGGCTGTGGGACGCACAGCTGTTGCCTCTTGCCCTTGGCTCCCAGCTACCCTGCAACCTGCTCCAACCAGCTGGAGAAGAATCACTACAGAAAGAGAAGGCTGGAAGCCAAGCCCTCGGGGACATGATCCTGACAATGAGGCCCGGAAGAGCTGGTATGGGCACACCACAGGCAAAGCTGGACATTCAGAGCTACATGGCACCCTTCGGGCCTACGCAGGGCACCTGCTGCCAAGCCCAGCTGTGGCCTCATGCCCGAGTCACCAGTCACCCAGCCATGCAGTAGTGGAGGGCTTGGCAGCAGTCTTGGCCCAGGAATGAGGCTGGCAAGGTGGCAGGCAGAGGTGTGCAGACGCTGGGGGGTGCACATGGTGCCCTGCCTGCCAGCACTCATGCCTGCTCCTTGCTCCAGGGCCTGAGGAAGCCCAGGCCAGCCCCTGATCCCTGCCCTGCTGGGGCTGTTCTGCTCATAGGCACCCCACTTCTGAGCCCCGCTCTGTGCCAGGAAGCCTGGGAAGGGCTTTCCGGGTTAGGCTCTGACAGGCATGACCCCAGGCACAGGAGATACCACCAGCCCTGTTCACAGGTGGAAAAAGGAGGCTGAGGTCGCCAGGCCAGTAGGTGTGAAGCCAGCAATGAAACCACGTGCATCTCATGGTGCCAGCTCACCCTCAAGTCACCCCTCAGTGCCGTGGTGCTCCGGGGTCCTGCCTCACCTGCCCGGCCTGGGCTGCAGCGCTGGGAGCCTGCCCGGCCCTCACCCCTCTGCATCCTCCTGAGGGCAGTCCGGGCCTCCTTCCCTGCATCTCCCCAGAACCCAGGGGTTTCACTGCTCAGTGCCCCGGGAACGGTGGCCGATCCACTGAGGGGCCCTGCCAGGGGTGTCCACACCCAGGCATCCACTGTGTGGCAGAGCTGTCCCTGTGGGCACAGGAGGAATGGCGTGTGCCCACCTCTGTGATGCCACCCAGAACCCAGCTGGGATGCTGGGGTCCCCTCCGGTTCCACAGTGACCTGGGAACCTGCTCATAAGCACTGGGGCTCAAGGCAAACGGGCAAGGTCTCAGGGTTAGGGACAGGGACTGCTGAGGCCAGAGGAGGAGAAGCCACGCTGTGAAGGGGGATAGGCGGAGTCAGCGGAGGGAGGGCAGGGCTGGCTCTGGGGAGGATGAAGGGACCAGGCCCCAGGGCAGTGCTCCAGGTGTCACCCAAGGTCTTGCAACATGGAGTGACGTCTATACCGGGCATCTGAGGAGACTCCCCGGAGTTTGAATCCACAGCTGGATTCAGCCCCCAGCAGCTTGGGAGGGGATACAAAGAGGAAACATGGGATTTGGGAGCACCCAGTGCCCAGGGGCAGCCCCAGGAGCATCCCGAAGGGACAGGGGCCTGGGCCTCATGTAACCACTTTTCTCAGGCTGGCTTCAGTAAAGCACATGATGCCCGTCTCCCAGGCACCAGGGTGGTGAGAGGGCTCTGGTTGCCCCAGGAGTGGGGGGCAGGTAAGAACAGCCTGGAGTCTGAGCAGGTGGACCTTGGCCCCTCCCCCAGAGCAAGCCCAGAATCTTCAGGCAGAATGGCCACGTTTCAGGAGGGAGGGAGGGCTGGTAAAGGGGCCTGGACACCTTGCACTAGGAAATGTCAGGAGGGCATCCCTGGTCAGTGGCACCCCCAGACAGGGGGACTTCATCCATGACTGCCCCCAATGCCCTGGCAGGAGGCTGAGGGCCCTGGTGTGTCAGAAACGCTGCTCCCACCCTGACTTCAGGCCTGGGGACTGCAATGCACAAGTCGTGCCTCCACGGCAGGGCACTTCCTCAGCCCGGCCACCAGGACTGCCTCCAGCCCCGGGCTCAGGTGGCTTCTGGCTGCTTCCAGAAATGGGGCTCTTCCATCGTGAGCTGTTGACGGGAAACCTGGTTGATGGGACCAAATTCCCACAGGTGAATACACCTGCATCCACGCACAAGCGACAGCCACAGGACAGGCCCACGTCCACACACGGGTGACGGCCAGAGGACAGACTGCAAGGGGCTATTTTGGGGAACACAGTGAGAGGAGATTTCTTCTTTTTGCTCAAGGTCCCTGAACCTCAGCCCTCCCAGCACTGGGCCATGTCATCCGGGTAGGGGAGGGGGGTCATCCTGTGTGCTGCAGACGCTGAGCAGTGTCCCTGGCCCCATCCGCCTGCCCAGCTCACCTGTCACCAAACCCAACTCCACAACTCCACCGTCCTGGGGTGGGAAGACAGCCGCCCCTGAGTGAGAACCACTATTACTGTAACGGTTTCTTCCTCTTGTACTCTGCACACGTAGGAATTGTGCAGCAAACACACACTGAAGCTGCCAGAGTCGCTGGAGCAGGCAGAGCAGGTGCCGGTGTCCTGCATGGACCCCACGCCCATGAGAGCAGCGCGGGGCAGGGCCTCGGCTCCTCCCCAAATCCCAGGCTGAGAAGCTAAGCCACACTTATCTGAGAACGCGTTCCTGCCTTCTCTCCCCCAGGCACACGGAAACCCTCCACCACCCAGGGAGGCTGCCAGCTCCTCCCACAACCCAGTTTTCGTGGGGCCAGCTCCGCAGAGCCTGAGTCTATAAAAGGTGGAGAGGTGCCCACAGGCACTCAAGTTCCGTGTGGAAATAAAATCTTGAGTAATAAAAGGTTTCACAAGTCCCGAAGGCCCCTGGCAGGCTGAGGCCGCTCTCGCCTTCCTGAGTGGCCAGCATCCTCCTGGGAGGGGCTCCTCCTCCTTCACATACCCCTCACAAAGGACTCGGGTTCTATTTAAGAAAAGGGCCATGGCATGGGAGCAGCCCCCGAGGCAGACTCGCCCCGAGGGTGGGAGAGGCCTCATGCTCAGATGAGGGCTTCAGGCAGGGGATGCACGTGGCCCCAAGGCCAGGACAGGGCCCTGCCTCTACTGCCCAGCTCCTAGGAGGTCAATGCTGCTCTTTGTGTAAACAAAGCCCCTCCCCCAACCTGGGACTCTGGGTCCCCAGCACCTACCTCCGCTCGTGGCCGACACACCATGCCTGCCACCCGCAGCCTGGCTTCCACACGGGCACCATGCGGCTGAAGGCCTGCAGGCACGGCTGGCGGTGCCCCACCAGGGTCAGCTCCTGCTCAGCACACACGTGGGGCCTGGAACAGCGACACGAAGAGTCAGCGCCTCAGCCACCCCCAGCCGGCAGCACCCACCCTCCTGCACCTGCACCCTTGGGTGTCAGCCCATCTGGAGTGAAGTCCCCTACTGGCCATGCCAGTGCCCCTAGCAGGCCGCGGGCACAGGGGCTGAGGGAAAAGGGACAATGGCCGCCACTGCATCCCCAACGCATGGGCCACAGCGTGGCTCCCGGTCCTCCAAGTCCTCGAGAACAGCCACCCACGACACTGCCTCAGCAGACAGGAACTGTGGCCTCGAGGCACAGTCACGCCTGGCCCAGAATCCAGAAACAAGCCAGGGCCCATCTGTCCTCTCTCCTCAGCTCTCCCTGCCTTGCTTCAGAGATGTCCCCAGGCCAGGTTCTGCTGGGGCATGTGGCTGAGAGGGAGTTCGCCTACGGCAGGGTGGGGTGCAGCCAGCTTCAGGCCCGTCCACTGTGAAGTCAGTGGCTCTCCAGCATCCTAGGACCTACACAGGCGAGTGGACAATGAGCGAGGCCTGCTCATGGAGGAGGAGGTAAAAACCCCAGCCCATCCCGCCATCCCCCTTCAGGGCCCTCGGAGGCCTCTCCAGCCCAGAGGCTGCATAAACCAGGGAGGGGGCACACCGGGGACAGGCGTCCTAAGCAGCCATCCAGATCCCACCCTGCTGGGAGCAGCTGGAGAAAGGGCTCAGGCCCTGGTGGGGAAGGGTCAGAGGGAGGGACCCTCCAAAGACAGCCACACAGGCCGGCATCCCCAGAGCAGGGGCTCACCCCAGGCCTGCCCTGACCGAGGAGTGAGGCGGGCTCCCTCCACAGAGGCAAATTTGCAGGGAGAGATCAAGGCTCCAATGCTTGTGTCCCACAGCAGGTGCGCCTGGCCCTGGCTCTGGGGACCGAATCTCCCTTCCGGCCTCAGGCGCAACTAGCCTAGCAGATCCTCCAGAGCCCCTCCCATCTCCTGGGGGCAAGCAGACGGCGTGGACCCGTCATGGGAGGGCCCTGCCCTGCCCGGCGTATTGTCCAGGCTCGGTATCGCCCTCCGCCCAGGCCCTGCCTGGAGCTCCTAACCTGCTGCTGCCCAGTGGGCCGGACCCTCGCTCTGCACTCTGAGACTTCTGCCTGCCCCGTCGAGCCGCCCTGGCCCCAGGCCAGCCGCCCTCAGATGGATGCTCTCGCGATGGAGAACTTTATTTTTCCTCTTTCCTGGACCTGGTGCTGTGTGGGAAGGCCTGTGTTCCCTCTGACTTCAGCCCACCCCCTCGTGCTGAACAAATCCAGAAAGCACAGACCCGATGAGAGCAGCAAACAGAAGGGCTTCACCACCGGGAGAGCAGGGGCTCTGCCAGACGGCCGTGACACCCAGACAAGGGACCCCGGCCTCCAGCTGCCCACTCATGGAGAGGCAGCTGACGGCTGGGACCAGAGTCTAGCTCCAGGTCTCCAGTCAAGTCCAAGAAGGGCTGGGGCTGCACTGGACACACCCTGCCCATGACCTCTTGCCTGAGACGTTCTCCCCACACTCTCCTGCAGTTCCCAACCTGCCTGTTCCAGGGCCGAGGCTTGCCCACCCGAGGCAGTGTTGATTCCTGGAGTCCAAGCCCAGGTGACAGCAGGGCAGGGGCACAAGGCAGGGCTCCAGGCAAGGCAGAGTGCCTCCTGGCCACGAGCAGGGTCCAGGCTCCCCACCAACTCCCAGACAGACCCGAAGCTGCAGCCGAGCAGCCTCCACAGCCATGGGGACCCTCCAGCCAGGCAGGATCAGCTGCACCATCCCAGGGCAGGTGGAAAGGCTCTGCCATAGCCTCTTCCTACACCAGGGAAACAACTCCCTCCTGGGCAGGAAGTCAGACTTCCAAAAACCTCGACTATTTTTACCTAGGAGCCAGGGAAGAGGTGATGAATCGTTCAGGAGTGCCTCCTCCGTGCCCAGCACCGGGCCCTTTGTCAACATGACATCATTGAATCTCCCCTCTCCCAGAGAGGAGATGACAGTGATCCCCAGTCTGCTCAAGGTCACCAGCTAATGTGAGGTACCGCCAGGACTAAGGGCCAGGCCTCTCCTAACTTCCCCCAGTATTGTTGGGCCCCTGTGTCCCAAAGGCCATGGATCCCAGAGTGAGAACAAGGGAGGGGGCAGGACCAGAGGTTGGATCAGGGAGGGCCCCGTCGCCAGGGAGGGCCCTCCTCAGCTTCCCTGGGGCTCGGTCCTGACCTCATCCCTGACCCCCAGACTATAGCACCCATGGCCGATGGTTTCACAGCCCCTGGGCCACTGCCCTACCCCACCCTGCTGTGACCCAAGGCTGACCTCTGCGGATCACACCTTCCCAGCACTGCCACACACACTCACACTCACATTCACACTAGGTCACACACAATCTCACACATTCAAAATCACATTCATACACACCCAGTCACACACACACACACACACACACACACACACAGTAACACACAGTTCACACAGACTCAAATGCACTCACACATGCAAGCACACAATCACACACAAACACAATCATACACATTCACGAGCACACTCAATCACACATTCACATATGCATGGTCACACACAACATGCTCACATACACACACATTCAATCACACCACACCCACACACAATCACATACACACACTCTCAATGACACATTCACACTCATAATCACACCCTCACACACCCACACACACTCTCATACACACACATATACACAATTACATGCACACAATCACACACATACACACACAATTACACACATACACGCATACATTACAATCACATACTCATACACAAAATCACACACATGCAATCACACACATATACACACAATGTCACTCACACATACACACAATCACACACACACTCATACAATGTCACACACACATAGACTCACACATACACTCACACACAATCACACACACTCATACACACATCACACACACTCACACAATCACACACATACACTCATACAATATCACACACACTCACACAATCACACACACTCATACAATGTCACACACATACACTCACACACACAATTACACACATGCATGCACACTTTACTCTCATGCATGCAAGCTCACACACGCTCACATACACATATGCACTCTCAAACTCCCATTCACACACATGCAGATACACAGGCACACACACAGACACACACACACACACACACTGCCCTCTGGCTGCCAGGTGGGTTTAGTCAACGTGAGGACCAGCAAGAGATGCGGGTGGGAGCAGCTTTGTGCTGTGTCCTCTTGCCAGGGGCAGGGCAATGCCCACTCTGGTTCCAGGGCCCGGCCCCCACCCAGCGAATGGCCTTGGCTCCATGGCTGTGCTCCCGTGCTCCCTCACCCATGTGTCTGCCTCGAAGCACACCCCTTCATGAGGACCCCTCCCAGGACAGTGCTGCAGCCTGTCCTCCTCCTGACAGATATGCTGTCCCCCTAAAATTGCAAAAGCCATGCTTTCATGTACAATGTCAAATTTGGGATCACAGCCAGGCATTTTAAAGAACTAGCACCTCGGGGAGGGCAGGACTCTCGATGAGCGCATCCACCTCCCCCACCATCGGGCTCTAGGGCTCCAAGGCATGAAGCAGTGGTTCTTCAAGTGGGGATCCCAGGCCAGGACCAGCAGCTCATCCTGGGAACCTCCAGAAATGCACACTCCTGGGCCCCACCCTGGACCCACTGAATCTAGGACTTTTAGGGTGGGGTCAGCATTCCTCAGGGATTTAAGGATTGCGACTGTTTTCCCAAGCCCACCAGGGGCTGCTGGAGCACACTGAAGCTTGTAACCCCAGTCCTAGCAGTGTGAAGCAAGGTCTCACTGCTGGGCCACCTGGGTTTGAATCTCAGCTCCCCACGCCCCATCTTTAAGATGTGAAGCTTACTGAACCTCTGCCTCGGTTTCCTCACCTGTAAAATGAGGACTGGCCTACCAGGTTCAATGAAGGGTTCAATGAGCCAGCACAGACAAGGGCTTCCGACAGCCCTTAGGAGGTGTGAGCCAGTGTTACTGCAGATGCTGAGACTATTTATTCAGGAAAAAGTGTCACTTGTGTATCAACAGTGGGCCCATAGGAACTGCTACAAGCATTGAACGCGTTTGCTGCCCCTGTGCCTTGCCACGCACTTGACCACCTTGAGCCCTAGGCAAAGGTGGCCCTGAACTCCTCGCCATAAAAAACGGAAGGGGGTGGGGGATTAGGCTGATGACCCCTGAGCTTCTGGGCTGCAGGGGTCCCTCCAGGGGTCCAGCCCCAACTCTGCCATAGCCCCTGTGCTGAGGGCAGCCACTGTGAAGTGAGCCTGTCACTGTCTCAGGATGGAGATGACACAGAAGGGCCAGAGCTTCGAGCTTGGCTTTTCAACACACACCCCAGGCCTGGGGCCTGCTGTGCAGCCGGAGGAGTCGATGACCATCTCTGAGCCTTCAATTCAGCATCTGGAAAGCAGGCGTGACGGCAGCTCAGGCCTCCGGGGCTTGGAGACATGGCCTGGTCTGGGGTCCTGAGGGGATGGGCACTCCCCTCTGATGGGCCTCCTTGTCCCTTCTGGACCTCCTCAAACCTCAGCAACCTCGGCTGCTGCGAACCAGCAAGATGACACCGCAGGACTCAAAAGACCCCTTGCCAGCCCCACCCAGGACCACTTAGCAGCCCTTCCCCACATCACACTGTCACTCTCTGGGCTGCTGCCCCCTGGCACACCCTTTGTCTCCCCAGTAACTCCTTCCCCTCCATGGCTCTCCCTCAGGCCAGAGGACTCTTGCCCTGCTCAGCCATGCTGTGGTCCCTGAAAGCAGCTCCTGGGTGGCTCTCGCAGTGACCCCCAACAAGTCTGATTGATCATCAATCAAGCCAGCCTTCAAGGGAGGAGGGGTGAGTGTGGGAACAACTGTCTCCTCTGGGGAGTTCCGCACCGCACACACAGCCACTGCCACCTTCCCACCTGGGAGGATGGAGAAGGTGGCAGGGGGAGGGCAGGCAGAGGAGGGGACATAAAGAAATCTGCCTGGCTGGGCGCAGTGGCTCACACCTGTAATCCCAGCACTTTGGATGACCAAGGCAGGTGGATCACAAGGTCAGGCGTTCAAGACCAGCCTGACCCACATGGTGAAACCCCATCTCAATCAAAAATACAAAAATCAGCCAGGCATGGTGGCTTATGTCTATAATCCCAGCTACCTAGGAGGCTGAGGCAGGAGATTCACTTAAACCTGGGAGGCAGAGGTTGTAGTGAGCCAAGATCGTACCACTGCACTCCAACCTGGGTGACAGAGCTAGACTCCATCTCGAAAAAGAAAAAAGAAAGAAAGAAACCTGCCCACTGCCCCACAGTGTCCCAGGAGAACCCGGTAAAATGCCTGGTGGCCTCGACAGGACCAGAGTCCCAGGCCTATCTGTTCCTTGCGGCTAGATGCCACCTCCCATCTGGGGAATTCCCAAACTACAAAGTGGACCCAGCGCAGTTGGAGGCGGAATGCGGCCCAGCTGGCCGGCCACCTGCTCCCAGGCAGAGCTGGGGTCCCACCGGCAAGAGGTGGGCATGCCACAGGGTCCCTCCAGGGCGGGCAGCGACAGTCTGGGCCCAGTGAAGGCATCACTAGGTTGGGGAAGAGGGGAGGATCCAGAAACCGGGCAGCTGGCCTGGCTCAGCTTCCCAGACTGGCTGAATGCAGCCCCTGAATAAACCCCTATGGGCAGCAGGTGGGGGGAGTTGCTTAGGACAGCGGCCCTTATGTTCATTTTTGAACGCTTGTTTTTACCCCCATGGGTCTCCTCTTCTCATGCCTCCCAGGCCCCCAAGCAGCCAGGTGGGGGGCTCTCAAAGCCCTGGGGTTGGGGAGCCCAGCTCCTTCCCTGGGGCCCCTAGGACCCTCAGACGCCTTTCCCTAGACTATGAGATGATTCTCAATGTCACTCTAAGCCCCAAAGGCAGCAGCTCACGTAGGTGAGAGCTCCTTCCCTCCAGGTCTGGTGCTGCGGCACTTAGGGCCCCACAGGAGGCTGAGAACAGCTGCTTTCTGCGCCTGGGGTAGTGGACAGAGCACAGCTGACAACCCCCAGACCTCAGGCTAACCAATGCTGCCCTTGGCGCCAGGGGGTCCAAAGAGCTACTTGCAAGACTGGACTTGAGCTGGAGGTCCCGACCCACCCTGGAGGGGAGGCATCAGGTCATTAGCTGGTTCTGGAGCACTGGCTGCCCAGACTGGGCTCTCTCGGGGAGAACCTGAGCCCCTTCGAAATACTGGTCTCTGCAGCCCAGCAGCACCTCTCAGGGTCTCCAAAATGTGGAGCTTTCAACCATGGCTGCTTGGAGCTGGCAGGTCCGTGCCTTGGCATGTGGGCAATCTGCCTCGCACTCCACTCCCGGCCTCGTTCCCAAACGCTGCCCGAAGCCTAGGGCCTCCTGCATGAGGCCGGAGGAGAGGCCAGCATCCTTCCTCACAGCGGAAATTCACTTTAGAGTGACCTGAATCAGCAGATAGATCAGCTCTGCCTGCTCCAGAGATGGCGCAAAGCCCCTGGGTCTGTGAGTCGGACGGCACTGCCCTCACTGCCCCCCACAGCGTCTCCCAGAGGCCCTGGTTTCTAGCATTAACAGGAATTTGGCAGTATGGCTTCAGCTCAGCAGCCAGTGGTTCAGGAAAACTCGGCAGAACGGGTGCCACTCTCCTCTGCCAGGCCCTGCCCGCTCATCAGATTCCCCAGATGGAAAGAGTGGCGGGGAGGACAGGACCAGCAGCGACCAAGCACTCTCTGGGACCCGCCCTGTTCCTCTGGGGTAAGAGAGCAAAGAGTGCCCCCGCCCCTGCCCCACCCCACTGGAGCCCACAGCTTCCCCCTCCTTTCTGCTCCACAGAGTGGACCTCAGAACAGGCCCTGCTCTCCATAGCCCAGTGAGAATCTCCCCAGGGTCCAGCTCGGGGTCCCCACACTCACTCAGCTGGCCAGCGTTGGCCCACTGAGGCCCAGCTGCATGTCCAGCCACACGCCAGGTGCTTCCTGGACACCAGGCCTTTGGAAGGCGGCACAGAGCTCAGACTCTCGCTAGTAGACGATCTGTGAGCAGAGGCCCTAGTGGAAATGCCTGGAGCCCAGAAGATAACTCAGGGCACAGGCCCCAGCGAAGCCACCGCCACTCACTGCGACCAGGGAGGCTTCCCTGGAGGAGCACAGGATGGGAAAGGCAGAGAAGGGAGTGGAGGGAAGGCTTGGGGAAAGGATGAGCAGAGAACAGACTCTCCCACAACCCATTTCCACGTTTCAAACGGCTTGGCCCCAGGCTCACGAAGGGCCTCCCAACGCCAGGTGTGCAGGCAGAACACAGGAAGCAGACCCTCCTCTCCACTCCTGGAGACCCCAGCAGGTCCAAGTCTGGCAGGGGGCCCAGGAAGGGCCCTGATGGCAGAGGCCCCTCGCAGGTGCAGGGACACTGGAGCAGAGACAGTGGGCAGTCCACCTCTGCCGAGCAGCAGCCCACCCAGGGACTCTGGGGAGCCTGTGCCCCTGGAAGCCCCTGGCTGGTCCCGGGAGGAGCTGGCTGGCTGAGCAGCGAGGGCCACTGTGGTGTCCCTTCTGAGCCTGCAGCTTTCGAATAAATGCTCTGGGGTCACAGGAAAGAGGAATGTCCAGTAGCCCGTGGAGTCAGGACTAGGGCCGTTCACACTGTGGATGCCAAGGCCCCCAACCCAGGGACAGCACCGCTTTGAAAAGATACCCACTTCGTGGAGTAAAGCAAGACCCTGGGTGGGGCTGGGGGTTTGGACACCCCCACCCCTGCACCAGCGCAGCGTGGCAGTTTCTCAGTCCCCAGCCAGCTGCAGCTCTGTCCTGCAAGGCCAGGTTTGTGATGGGCCCTTGAGCACCAGGCCCTGTGGGGAGTGCTGGACAGGAGCAGCCTGAGAGCCCTCTGTGGCCCCAGGACTGGGAGGCTGTCAGACAGGAGGTCTTCATCTGAGCCTGGCCCTCACCCACTCGTCTGCAGCCTTCTAGAGCTCTGCAGGCCCCAGGCCCAACACGGGCAGGGAGTGCTGGGTGGGGGCGCCAGCAACTCCCAGCCTCCGCCTCCTCCTCCACTGCACACCAGTTTTCCTTTGAGGCCAACACAAGGATTGATTTGCTGTTCAAGAGAGACCGCTAAACGGCCCGTTGGGGAATCATCTTTCAAAATTGAATTCATCTCGGCTGGCTCCGTGACCCTCTCTTCCTGCCCATTCTGGCACTAAATTCCTTCTCCAACAGCCCAAAGCGCACGTGTTTAACACACAGACCAACTCCATTCAGCTCCCCCGTCTGGGCACGCTCACCCCTGCGAAGGCCCCCAGACCCCAGAAGGCAGGCTTTGGAGAAGCGGGAACAGGCGGCTTCCTCTCTGCCTTCTCCCAGCCGGGCTCCGGGGCCAGACTGCCCGGAAAGGGGCCCAGATTCCTCACCGCTTTCCAAGTACAGCATCTGCCTGAGCCTGCAGAACCCACATCCCTGAGCAAAATAGGGGGAGAGGGAGAGAGGGGGAGAGGACACGGGGAGGGGCCCTGCCACAGAAGGGCCCCAGACTCGACCCGGAGCCCTGTGTCTCAGCCATCCCCTCTCCAGGTAAGGCAAAGAGCCTACTGCTCTGGGGCCCCAGGGACAAAGCCTCGGAGCCCGGTCCACTGCGGGCTTCCCGAGGCCCCGGGGTCTCTGGAGGACCCGCCGAGCCCTCCCAGTTTCCGATACTCACATGTCGGGCTGCAGCGGGAGCAGGGGCCGCGGCGGGACGCTGGCGCCCAGGGGCGCGGCGGGGAGCAGCAGCAGCACCAGCGCCAGGGCCACCTCGCGCCCCGCTGCCCTCGCCTCCGCAGGGAACGGCATCGTGCGCGCCGGTGCCTTCTCCGGTCCCTGGCTTGCAGGCGGCCCCGCGGACTCCCCGGAGCCTCCGCCTCGACGTGCGCCGTAGGACGCAGCCACAGGTGCCCGCGCCGAGTCCGCGGAGCCCGAGGTCGCTGCAGGTGCGGAGCTTCCCGCCCGCGCCCGAAATGGCACCGCGGAGACCTGATCGCCGGATCCACCCTGCAGACACTCGCCCCGGCGCGGTGTGCACAGCGCCGCTACCCGAAGCCTGGAAGGCCGCCACGCCCCCGGCACGCCCCCAGCTCGCACCCCAGTCCCGACCCCGACTCCGCCCCCGGCTCTCCCGGCTCCTTGCGCCCTAGGCCCCGCCCCTTCCTCCCCTCCCACCTCAGCAGCGCCCCGCCCCCGGCACGGCCCCTGGACTTGCCCAGATCCCTCACCCCAGCCCGGGCTCCTGCTTCCAGCCCCGCCCCATCCCCGCCCCTCACCGGCTCTAGGCCCCGCCCACAGCCTTCCCGGAGTCCCGCCCCAGACCCCCGCGGGACTGGCACAGCCCCTTCGCGCTCCCTGCTGGTCTCAGGCGGAAAGTCCAGATGCTAACCGACTGCAGTGACCAAGCCCGAAGGCGCCGGGCTCCAGGGGCCACAGCCCTCAAAGGCAGCTCTCTGCAGTCCCGGACCCCAGACCCCGACCTCAGGAGACAGCGCTCAGGCTCCCTCACTTCTCAGGCTCCGCTTCAGCCTCGGTTTGTCCTGCCCGTGGACGCTGCGTCCACCTTCGCCCTGACACCTCATTACCTTCCCGCAGGGATGCGGTCGAGGAAGGGCTTGAGGAGGGGGTGGCCAGCCTCTGCCACCCGCATGCACCCTGAACATCCCTGCTTCGGGGACGTGCATTGCCGGTTCCCAGCCACCTCCTGGGCATTCCCGTTCCTCTTTCTGTGCTGGGAACAGTGTTCTTGGACGGTGGCCTGGAGTGGGTGGGCCTCGGGTCCCAGCAGCCGCAGACAGGAGGAGGCGCTAAATTCTAGGGTGCCCGTGGGCGCAGAGGCACTATCTAGGGTGAGGCTTCTGCAAAGTAAGATTCACTTTTGTCCTTTGAAACCTGGTTTTGGTTTGAAATTGACTGATTCCAGGGACCAGAACCAGGTGGTCCTAAGGATGGACATGGAGTCTCTGGGGTCAGGTCTACCAGACACTCAGGAGTGTCTCTTTCTGAATAGCAGATTGGGGGATGCAATCTGGGTGGGACCAGATGGGGGCCAAGTGTGGTCCCCTCATTAGCCACATGAAGAGCCAGCCCTGCTGGCAGAAGTGCACTGGCCATCAGCTCAGCCAGTGAAGCCTGGGCTGCCCTGTTTCTTGGAACTTTCCCCCTGCAAGGCTTTGTGTGGTCTCGGAGAGAAACTTCTAATAGGGAGCACTGAAGGGAGCCCTGCTGGGAGGGGGTTGGGAAGGGAGCATCCCCCAGCCATCCCAATGCAATGGAGGGGCAACAGTAGCCCCAACACACACAGGCTGTCTGCGCTCCCACACTACCTGGAGGTTACAGTCCCCTGGGGGTGGGTGGCCATCAGGCCAGCCTCACCATCACCCCTGCTTTACAGAAGGGGAGACAGAGGTCACAGGAGGGGTAGCTCCCCAAGTCGCCCAGCTTGTGAACTGCAGATCCGGGAAGTGAACACAGGGGGACCTTCCCTTACCCCTGTCATCTGCTCCTTATCAGTAACAACAACAAACATGAACAGGACACATAGCCAGAGTCCTCGAGAGGTGGGTGAGTTCAGCGTCTTCTGAAACCCCAGCTACCAGGGGGTGCCCCAGTTGCTGATGCTCCAAAGACTACCCTCATCTGTCCCTCCGGGCTCTCAATTCTGCCCTTCACACACACCCACTGACCACCCTTCCCAGGAGCTCAGCTGCAGGGGCTGCCCCAGCCAGGGTCTGGGGGCTCCTGTCCTCCTGCTATCCCAAGAGCTTGCACCCAAGAAAACCTCCCCAGTGCCCCACTTCTGCACTGGGCCCCGTTCTCAGGTGAAGGTGCAAGCCCGTGAGCTTCACCCCAGCCCTGAGAGCTGTGGGATGGTTTCCCCATCTTTACATCTGATGCCTGCTCTTCCAGAGCTGGCTTGGCACAAATGGGTGGTCAACAAGTGTATGTCAAGCAAATGAATGAACACCTTTAAAAAGTTCGCCAGCTTCTCTGCTGAACTCCAGCCGGCCTGGAACGGGGTGGAGGAGGATGACTCACTGTTGGAGAACATTCTCCAGCTTATCAGAGGAAGAAGGAAAGAATGTGGATGGATCCTGTGGGTTCAAAAGGAGGTCTCTGGGCAGGGGAGGCTTCAGGTTATGAGCAGCCTGAAACGTATAAAATGAGGGGCCCTCTGGAAGAAAAATAATACAAAAGTAAGTTATTTTATGAAAATATATGACCTCCTGTGTGCCTTTCTAGGCCCCTGCAGATGGGCTCCACTGGCCTCACCCTGCCTGTATGCATTCCCCGGTCCCAGGCACTGAGCTGGGTAACAGGGGGAAGAGTCCTGGGCAGGCCCCAGGAAGGGAGGCAGGCAGGAAGAAGACATGTGCTTCCTGCTGGAAATCCTTGTGGCCAGGACACCCACCGCGCCCTCACAGGGCATGCACTGCTTTTCCCCCGCCATTCAAGGTGATGGGGCAGTCACCCAGATGGTCTGTGGTCGTCTCCCACTGCACTCCTGATGCCTAGACAGAGCCCTCATTCTCAGGCACAGCAGGGAGCTCACTTCTCTGACAGGCAGGCCCCTGGGGCTCTCTGTGCCCCTGAGTCTCACCCCCTCCACCCTAAGACCAGGTCCTCTGCCCAGCCTGGTACTACAGGGCATGGGTGACACGCAGACATGTGACCGTCTCAGTTCCAAAGTGTGTCTTCCTGCACACAAGACAGCTGACCACCACAGAGGGTGCCTAGACTGGACTTACGAAAAAAGGCATCAGCCTGGGCGTGTGTGTTTCATACCCTTCTATATGCAGATTGAACTCACTATACACAAGGTTGCTTATGTAGCAAAAATAAATAAATAAATAAACTATGCAGAGCACAGTAAATATTCTGCAAGAATGATCTTTGTCCATTTTCATAATAAAGTGACAGTCTATGGGTCAGTGTTGCAAACATTTTCCCAGTCTGTATCTGTAGTTTGTTTTTGTTTTTTGAGACAGAGTCTCTGTGTCGCCAGGCTAGAGTGCAGTGGCTCGATCTCAGCAAACCTCTGCCTCCCAGGTTAGAGCGATTCTCCTGCCTCAGCCTCCCGAGTAGCTGGGACTACAGGTGTTCACCACCACGCCCAGCTAACTTTTGTTTTTTTTTTTAGTAGAGACGGAGTTTCACCACATTGCCCAGGATGGTCTTGATCTCTTGACCGCGGCTGCCCACCTCAGCCTCCCAAAGTGCTGGGATTACAGGTGTGAGCCACCACGCCCAGGATGGCTGTGGTTTGAGTATGGTTACTGATGCTGTCTATTTAAGTTTTGAATTTTAGGTACTAAGATGTGTGTGGTTTTTCTCTGCAGCTCCCTCCTTTTCTTAAAAGTAAGTGCTAAGCTTAGAAGATTCCCTAATGTTTCATTCTTTTTCATTGCTGCCATTGCATTTACGTATTTCCTCATCATTTACTCTGCTGTCACTGTGAAGGAGGATTGCCTGGTTAGCCAGTGGTTCAGGCGCCATCAGCCAGCCCAGCTCCTTCCACCCATCCGAGGCAGCTTCTTCATCCAGAACTCATCACAAATAGATCTGTCTCTGGGTATTTCCACTGGGTCTTAGCTCAGCCCCAGACAGTTTTACCTCCTTGCCCTTCGTCCCCAGGATAAGACAGAAGGGCTCCCCATGGTGATTCTCATGACAGCTTATTAGGAGTGTGTTTGAATGACAGTACCTCCCCACTACTCTCATCCTACCCCCCAAAATTATAGTAGTAATTCCCACCTGTCATTCTTTCGAATGAATTTTGCAGTCACTTTGCCCAGTTCCTTCAAAGTTGCATTGGACTTTTCATTGCAATTGCCTTAAATGTCTGCATGGAGAAACACGGACATTTTCACAGTCATCAAACTTTGGGAAGGGCAGGGACTGCAGCAGGAGGTGTACTTTCTGACCATCCCAAGGAGGCGAAGGAGAGAAAGGGCGGCTGCAGAGACGGTTAAGGGACACTGCCCCCTGGCTTGGGGCACAGGTGTTGGAACCCACTGGCCTCCCTCTGGTCCTCTTTCCAAGTGGGGGCTTCCCATGGCTTCAGAGGCCCATTGGGTTGCAGCTGCAGCTCAGGCCGCAGCTCCCAGACCAAGCTCCACACTAAAAACCTTTCAGAAAATCATAGCCAAGCATCCCGGTTCCACTGTTAGGATTTGCTGACTCCACCTACGTGGCACAGACCCGCTGGGTCCTCACAGCCCTGCGCATTTTTGAGGAGGCACCAGATGGGAAGCAGCTCAAATGGAGGTCTCTGTTAGACCCCAAATGGAGATGCCTGCAAGAGGGCTCTGAGCCATGGTACAAGCCTTGGTGTTGACCCCACCCACCTGGCCCCAGCCTCCCCACCCACCGCCCTATCCAGGGGGCTCAGCTCTCCCTCTCCTCCCCTCTTTATCCTGCCAGGCCTCGAAGTCTCAGCCCTTGAGGGGGGCACCCAGGCCACCACTCCTGGGTCACATGCAGAATCAGGCTTGGCTCAGAGCCTCTCCCCAACAGACACGAGGAGTGGATATGCTTCCCCTTCTACCATTTTTAAATCTGGCAAATAATTCCTCTACCTTGCCTGAAAAGCATTACTGAAATACACTACCTTTCAATGTTTTTGTCCCATTCTCTGCTGGAAATAATACAAACAACCTTTGGATGGAGGAGAAATAACATAGGGAGAAAGAAGAATCAAACCACCAGCTCGGTGGATAACTCAAAGGGCTAATTTCCAAAGCAAACTGCTCCTCATGTCCCGTCTGCGGGCTGGCGGCTGCATGCTCCTTCCCTGCAGCCTGACTTTAATCCTTCCAGAGCTGAGAGTCCCACAGAGAGAACTGCAAAACATCCCTGAAAGCTTCCCTGTCAATCCAAGAAAAGAATCCTGCATCTTTTCTGAATTGTCACGCCATTTCTCCTGACAGGGGAGTGAGCACAGTCGTTCATGCCGAAGGTGCTTCCTGGCCCTCAGATGCACGGTGCCACAGCAGTGCTCAGGTCAACACCAGTGACTGCCCACAATGGTCTCTGCCAGCACCCCCAGTGTGAGATGACCACAAAATCCAGCATGTGCCGGTGATGGCCAGACGGGGGTGAGAGAAGGGGTAGGAGACTCTCCAGAGAGCACAGGACCGCACAGCAAACCCTGCACCACACCCTTCACTGAGGCTATGGCCAGCCTGTGGGTAGCTGACTCTGAAGCTCATTTCTAAACCTCTGAATTTGCCCCAAAGGAGAGAGAGTAAAATGAAAAGACCAATCTGTGGCACACCTAAGGTGGGCTGTGTGATGGGGCCCCAAGCGTGGTGGGGGAGAACGGGAATCCCAGAGCAGATGACCCGGTCAGAACCCCCTGTCCCAACTGCTGCCGAGTAGGGTGCCTTCCTCCCTGGTTCTGTTCCTATGTCCTCCTGGGTTACAGTGGAGAGAGCAGAGGGGCAGCTTCTGGTTCTGTTTCCTGCTCAGCGTTTGAACCATGGCACCAGCGAGCAGAGTCGCTGTTCTGGGGACCAGACAGCATCCAGACACACAGGCCTGGGCTTCGCCATGCAGCCCGACTCCATCCCCACCCAGCACCCCATCCCCCACCATGATCCTGCCATCATCTCTCCCTCCAACCCTGGGATCAGCATCAGGACGGAGCTAGGTACGGAAACATGATGGTGTTTCAGACCAGGCGCTGACACTCAGATGGAAAACTGCACCCACTCCTGCCACCGGCCTAGGAGCTAGAGACACAGCCTAGTGCATTGAATAGTGGCCTCCAAAGACATTGGTCCTTGTCCTCCCCATCACACTCCTGTGAATGTGACCTCATTTGGAAAAAGGGTGTTTGCCCCGTATTCTCACTTGTGAGTGGGCGCTGAGTGGTAAGAACACATGCACACACGGGGTAACAACAGCCTCTGGGGCCTGTGGTTGGGAGGGACAGTGTCAGGAAGAAGACCTAGTGGATGCTGGGCTGAATTCCCAGGTGGCGAGGCCATCTGTGCAGCAAGCCAGCACGGCACACATTGACCTGTGTCGCAAACCTGCGTATGGACCCCTGAACTTAAAACAAAAGTTGAAGAAAAAATAAATTAAACTGGGAAAGAAAAACGATGTTTGCAGATATAATCAAGTAAAGCATCTCTGGATGAGATCATCTGGGGCTTTCTGGGCAGGCTGTAAATCCTTGGACAGGTGTCTTTGTCAGAGACAGCAGAGGGAGATTTGAGACAGAACCAAGGGACACTGCAGCGTGAAGCCAGGAGCAGAGAACCAGGCCAAGTGCCCACAAGCCGAGGGGTGCCAGGGGTCGCTGGAGCTGCCAGAAGCTGGGAGAGAGATGGGCTGGCCTAGTCCGGGGTCACTTGTTACAGCGCCGCAGGAAACTCCTGAGTGAGGCACGTCAGTTCCTGTCCCTGGGGAACCCCTGGCCCAGAGAAGAGAGAAGCCTCCACGGCAGATGCTTCCCTGCCCTGCCCTGGGGCAGTGATGCCTTTCAGGCCCCAGCCCCGGCCATCTCAGCAGCAGCCCCACACAGGAACAGAGGCTCCCCCTCGCCCCCACTCCCTGCGTCCCCTGCAAGGCCGAGGCTGGGAGGCAGGTGTTCTCAGCCCAGCAGGCTTCCTGCAGTGGAGCGCTGTATTTCTCAGGTCAGAGCGGCACGGGCCACGCCCTGCCTGCCATGCTGCCCGGAACAGAACCAACGCTCAGGCCCAGGCAACATCCTGTCCAAGATCTTCTGGCTCTAAGTTAACCCGAGCTCTCCCAGCCTCCCCCTGGGACCCACTCTCCCAAAGGAAGCCTGACCCTCAAGGCCAGGCCTTCCCACTGGACCCATGGCAGAGAGACTACCTGGGGACCCTGGGCCCCACCTGGCGAAGGGCAGGTGGGAAGCAACATAAAACCATCCTCCTGCTGGAGTGCAGTGGGGGAGGACATTATCCTCAAATTGACTCAGCCTTTGAGAACTGCAGGAGAATGGCAGCCCCACTCCTTCCCCGAGCCCTGCTCTTGATCCTTAGAGCCATCCGAGAGCCCCTTCCCTGCCTGCAGGGAGAGGCATTTCTTTGTGGAAGTTGCTTCTGCTTCTTTCATGAGTTGCCAAAGTGTGAGGGCCATGTCTGCAAGACACCACCTGAGTGCTCACAACCGCCCCAAGCACTGCTGACCCTCACACAGCCCTGGGGACTGTCCCAGCCCTCGCTCCATGGAGAAGGGAGAGGCTGAGAAACATTCCTCTGCCTGAAGTGCATCCTCCAGAGCACAGCTGCCTCTGGAAGCCAGGGATCCTGCATGTGGGAACAGCCTCCAGGTTGCGCACTGACCCCCAGCCTGGGGGAGCTGCTGCAGGCACCTGGAGGACCTCACCCTTCGTCGGCCCTTTGGCACGTGGCCCCTTGACTCCCACATCCATCAGGGAGTGATGGCAAAGGCGGGACCCGCTGATTTTGCAAATGCAAAACCATAACAAGTGGAAGTTAAGATACGGACCCACGCTTCCCAGTTCAGACTTCCAGCGGCAGGAAGATAAACAATGACTTCATCTAGGGCCTGAATACACCCCAGCAGGAAGGAAGCTGTGTCCTCTGATGGGAAGGCCGTGCATGGGTGATGCTGCCACCTGCTGACAGACATAGGAATAGCCTCTTCAAAGCCCCAAGAAATAGACAAAACTCAGGGGCTCCCTTCCCGGGACCTCACAGCCAGACCCCAGTTACGAACCATCCCTGCCCAGCAACCTGCAGGTGTGGAGAGAGCAGCCATCTGGCTGGAAGGTCCATCATGCACATGTGTGACACATCATTATGTGCGTCCCCTAAAAAGGAACATTCAGGTCTTAACCCCAGTACCTTTGAATATGACTTATGGTTTGGCTCTGTCATTCCCTCCCAAACCTCATCTCAAATTGCAATTCCCCACGTGTCGGGGGAGGGGCCTGGGTGTAGGTGACTGAATCATGGGGGCAGATTTTCCCCTTGCTGTTCTCCTGATAGTGAGTTCTCAGGAAATCCAATGGTTTAAAAGTGTGACACTTCCCACCCCGCCTCCCTTCCTGCCACCTGTAAGATGTGCTTCCCCTTCATCTTCTGCCATGACTGTAAGTTTCCTGAGGCCTCCTCAGCCATGTGTAACTGTGAGTCAACTTTCCTTTATAAATTACCTACTCTCAAGTAGTTCTTCATAGCAGTGTGAAAATTGGTTAATACAGAAAATTGGTACCAAGATAGTGAGGCACTGATACCCAGATACCCGAAAATGTGGAAGTGACTTTGGAACTGGGTAGCAGGCAGAGGTTGCAACAGTTTGGAGAGCTCAGAAGACAGGAAGATGTGGGCAACTTTGGAACTTCCTAGAGACTTCTTGAATGGTTCAGACCGAAATGGTGATAGTGATATGGCCAATGTCCAGGCTGACGTGGTCTTTGAGGGAGATGAGGAAGGTATCGGGAACTGAAGCAAAGCTGAGCCTTAGCAAAGAGACTGGGGGCATTTTGTCCCTGCCCTAGAGATCCATGGGACTTTGGATTTGAGATGATTTAGGGTATCCGGCAGAAGAAATTTCTAAGCAGCAAAGCATTCCAGATGTGACCTTTTTCTGAAAACTTAGTCATGTATGTTCACAAGATGATCTGAAATTGGAACTTATGTTTAAAAGGAAAGCAGAACATAAACGTTTGGAAAATTTGCAGCCGATGTGGTAGAAAAGGAAAACCCATTTTCTTGGAAGAAATTTAAGCCATCAGCTGCAGATATGTCTCCATGGCATTTCAGAGAGCTTCACGGCAGACCTTCCCACCACAGGCCCAGAGGCCTAGGAGGCAAAACCAGCTCCAGCCGGGGCTAAAAACGGTCAAGATACAGCTCAGGCAGAACCTGCAGGTGTGCAGAAGACAAAGTGCTGAACTTTGGAAGCCTCTGCCTAGGTTTCAGAGGATGTATGGAAACGCCCGGATGTCCAGGCAGAAGTCCGTGGCAGGGGCAGAGCCCTCATGGAGAACCTCTGCTAGGGCAATGCAGAGGGGAAATGTGAGAAGAGGGCCACCATCCTCCAGACTTTCAGCTGGGGCTAGCACGGGGCACACACACGGTCCACCTTGAACCACTAGCGCTGACCAGGAGCTCTGAGCCGCCCTCTCCGTGCACACTGCCTCGCTGAAGGCTCGCGACAGCCTGGGCCTGGGCGCGCATTCCCACATTGCAGATGAGGACAGGGACGTAAAAAGACCAGCCGGGAGGACTCACGGACGAGCTGGAGCTCCGCCCGCAGGCTCCGCCAGGCCCCACAGCGGCCCCAAAGCACGCTCCGCGCAGGGCCTGGGCTGTCCCGTGGCTCCGACGTCCCAGGCCGTGTGCTTTCACCCCACACCTCCTCCCTCACCGCCTCCCACACGCGCCCTCGACACCAGCACTTTCTACCCTCCCGCCTCAGGGTGCATTGCTCCGCGGATCCGTCACGAATGCCCGGAGTGTGCGAAGAGCGCCTGGTCCCGGCAGGAGAACGCTGCCCGGCGTGCTGCGGTCCTCCAACCCCAGCCCCCAGGCGCCGCGCCCCTCCGTGCTGTGCGAGCCCCCGACCCGTGCGCGCCCCCCGGTCCACGCTCCATGGGCCGAAAGGGGCATGGCACTTGCAGGGCGGGTCACCCGCTTTCCAAGCCGGACAAGGGGCTCCGAGATTCCCTGCTCCTCTTCCCAGGCGGCTCCGCGACCCCCAGGCAACCGGCTTCGGCCCCGCCCCTTCCCGTCGTGTAAACATGAAGTGAGGCTGCGCGTGACAATCGCTTCCGGCGCAGCGAGGGGCGGGAGTATTGGTGAACGGCGGCGGGGCGAAGCCAATCGTGGAAGGCGGCAGGAGGAGAGCCAATCCCGAGGGTCGGCGGGCGCGGAAGGGGCGGAGACAGGGGCGGGGCCGTGGGCGGGCCGGGCGGGGCCGGTGGCTCCGGCGACGGCTGCTGAGGCGACGGCGGCCGCGTCGGCTACGGGGTCCGGGTCGGTAACGGGCGCGGCGATGCTGCAACTGCGGGACTCGGTGGACTCGGCCGGCACAAGCCCCACGGCACTGCTGGCGGCCGGCGAGGAGGTGGGGGCGGGCGGCTGCCCAAGCGGGGGACGGCCGGGACCTGGGACGCCGCTGCGCCAGACGCTCTGGCCGCTCAGCATCCACGACCCCACGCGCCGCGCCCGTGTTAAGGAGTACTTCGTGTTCCGGGTGAGGCCGGGACCCGGGCCGAGGGCGCGGGGCGGGATGGGGACGAGTGGGGACGGAGGCGGGCGCCGGGCGTTCCTGCAGAGAGCGACCTGTGACCTGTGATCTGTGACCTTTGCCCCCATCCGCCCAGCCCGGCAGCATCGAGCAGGCAGTGGAGGAGATCCGCGTGGTGGTGCGGCCCGTGGAGGACGGCGAGATCCAGGGGGTGTGGCTGCTGACCGAGTAAGCCGGGGCTCCGCGCTCCTCGGTGGGGGGACCCGCTCCTAGCCACCGCGCAGCACCTTGGCGGGGACCTCCCAGCGTGCTACGCTCAGGCGCTACGCGCCGCCCCTGCTGCCCTTTCAGCCGGGCTGGCCTTGGCTAAGCCGAGAGCCGTGTCCAGGGTGGACCGAGGCCCCTCCTCTTCCTGCAGGGTGGATCACTGGAACAATGAGAAGGAGCGGCTGGTGCTGGTCACCGAGCAGTCCCTGCTCATCTGTAAATACGACTTCATCAGTCTCCAGTGCCAGCAGGTGGTCCGGATAGCACTCAACGCAGTAGATACCATTTCCTACGGAGAGTTCCAGTTTCCCCCTAAATCACTCAACAAGTAAGTCTGTTCAGAGTCCAATAACACTGCACCAAAAAAGAAGCGACTTCTGGGCAGTTGAGTGCATTAAAAGGAATTCTGGCACAGAAGCCAGCTGTTAGGCTTGTAGTAAAAAGACTTATAGGAGTTCAAGATGCATCGAAGTGGAGCCCAATGTGTTAAAGAGGAACCTGGATTTTCTTCAGGTCAAGGCTGAACTGCATTTTGTCTCCAGCCAGGGGCAGATTGCATGACAGATCAAGTCTTGCCCTGGCTAATTTTTAAAAGAAAGAAGGAGGGTGCCGCTTTATAGATACCACTAAAAGACCAAATCGGAAATATTTAATGACTGACTTTCAGGAGTTGATCTTTTTCCCTGTAGGATAATTTTCTGAAATCTGAGAAACCTAGACATTATACAGTCAGTTAAACTGTAGAACTGAGATTTTTGATGTAGAGATTTGGATGAGGAATTCAGGAAGTTAAAATGAGCAAACATTTCAACCAACATTTAATATGACATAAGGAAAGGGCTGCACTTCCTTTTCTCTCATTTGGCCAGCCTATCTATAATTATTCCTCCCCCCCGCCTTTGTTTTTTTGGGATGGAGTCCCACTCTGTCACCCAGGCACCAGTGGTGCAAAATTGGCTCACTGCATTCTCCACCTCCCAGGCTTAAGTGATCCTTCCCCTCAGCCTCAGACTGCAGGTGCCCGCCATCACCCCCAGCTAATTTTTGTATTTTTTTGTGGATATGGGGTTTGGCTAGGTTGCCCAGGCTTGTCCCAAACTTCTGGGCTCAAAAGATCTGCCCATCTTGGCCTCCTAAAGTACTGGGATTACAGACGTGAGCCACTGTGCCCAGCTAGTATTCCTATTAATTTTTAATCATGTAAATGTTACCAAAGTAATACATTTAGTAACCAAATAATACATTTAATAACCAAAATATATTTGCTATAAGTACAGTTTTTTGTTTTTTTTTTTTTTTGAGACAGAGTCTCGCTCTGTTGCCTAGGCTGGAGTGCAATGGCACAATCTCGGCTCACTGCGACCACCACCTCCCATCAAACAGTTCTCCTGCCTCAGCCTCCCATGTAGCTGGGATTACAGGTGTGTGCCTCCACACCTGGCTAGTTTTTTGTATTTTTAGTAGAGTTGGGGTTTCACCATGTTGGTCGGCCTGGTCTCGAACTCCTGACCTCAGGTGATCTGCCCACCTCAGCCTCTTAGAATGCTGGGATTCCAGGCATGAGCCACTGTGCCCAGCCTGTAAGTACTTAAAGCAATTGTTAGTGGAGATAAAGTTACTCTTAAAAACTGCAAGCCATTTTCCACTGTGATACATCAGGTCTTTTCTGTGAACATGAAAATACTCTTTAATATGCTCCTAACCATAAGATTGTCAGATTGTTCATGAGAGCACTGTGGCCTGCCATGCTGAGTCTGGTATTTATTCTAATTTGTCAGGCGAGAAGGTTTTGGGATTCGAATTCAGTGGGACAAGCAAAGTCGCCCTTCCTTCATAAACAGATGGAATCCCTGGTCTACCAACGTGCCCTATGCCACTTTCATAGAACACCCGATGGCAGGCGCAGATGAGAAGACAGCATCTCTGTGCCAGGTAAGAAGACAGGCCCGGGATGCCGCACCCCCCGCAGTGACAGAACCGTTTCAGGTCTGCACTCACCAGCGGCCACGTGAAGCTGCTGCTGAGCACTTGAGACATGGCTAGTAACAGTGAGACAGTAAACTCATGATAGAGTTTATTCTCTAAGTTTTTGGAAGTTCTGGTTAATTTATGTTGCAGTAGCCCCATGTGGCCAGTGGCTACTGGTCAGCATACCTCCATAATGTGGCCTCCTGAGGGTGATGTGGGTAGAGATGGGTCCCACTGGGCTTCAGAGAACGGCAGCAGAGCCAGCCATGCCAGCTGACCAGTGCAGATGCTCACCAGGAGAGGAGGCCTCGGGGTTGGGGTTACAGCAGAGCCCATGACCTGGTGGGGTTCTGCCCTTCCCCAGCTGTGTACCTCGGCCTGGTTACCGACCTGGTAGGTAACCTGGTAGAGCACTGTACACAAGAAGGGCTCTGCACATGCTGGCTACCATTGGCCACAGAAGAGCATGGTGGCAAGATTTCCACACACCTGGAGAGCTCCGTGGGAAGGGGAGCTGAAGGACCCCCAGATGTGGCAGAGGCAGCCCATTCAAGTGAGGGGAAGAAGAGAGGTGGCATCTGGAGGGATTAAGTGTCTCAGAATGCTAATTTTTCCAAGTAATAGATGCTCTTACCTTGCCTGACAATTAAAGCTCCATGTTTTTCTCTCTTGAAAGTTGGAAAGCTTCAAGGCTCTGTTGATCCAAGCTGTGAAAAAAGCCCAAAAAGAAAGCCCTCTGCCGGGACAGGCGAATGGTGTTCTGATCCTGGAGCGCCCCCTGCTCATCGAGACCTACGTGGGACTCATGTCCTTCATTAACAACGAGGCTAAGCTGGGCTACTCCATGACCAGGGGCAAAATAGGCTTTTAGCCAGCTGTATTCTGGCAGCTCCTCCCCCTCCCCAGAAAGCCAAGGGATGTGGGTACTGGGGAGCCTGGCAGTCTTCATGCTGCCCTGCTGCCAGCTGGAAGGATAGGGGTCCTTTACCTTTAGGGACCTCAGCACAATTAGAATAGTAAAGTGAATTCTCTCTATTTAATTGGATATTGGACTCTGCTAATACAAGCTACAGACAAAAGCTAAAAGACTCGCTGCCGCTGTGCTGCTGGTATTCCATCCTCTGTAACTTCAGTTCTGGTGTTTTCCTCGAGTATCTCCTTGGCTTCTTGTGGTTCTTGCCACCCCAGCATGCTGGGACCCTCAGCACGCTGCTTACCGCTTGCGTAGGTTGCTAAATACAGGGAGGCACCGGGTGTCTGAGTGCCTGCAGTATGTCTACACTTGGTGTCAAATTTTGTATTTTAAAATGTAATCCAGCTCATCCAAAAGCAGCCAGCAAACTGGTTCAGTGAGATGAGTCTGCACCTGCAGGGCCCTTGGTGAATTGTTGTTCTTCTGTAAATGGTTGACCTAAACTCACACTTTTTCTAAAATTAATCCAAGCTGTGGTAATACTTAAGGTATCTTTCCCAGACCCAAAAAGGTTTACAGAAAATCATTTTAAGACAATTTATTAATTTGAGAAACTCACCTTGACAGTTCTTTGCACACAATTTTTACAACTCTCTGTATTCTAACTTTGTATTGTACTCATATTTAAAAGGGAATTGGGTAGTTTGCTTTGTGAATAATGCACTTTAAAAAAAAGGAACCATATCAGGCTGGGCATGGTAGTTCATGCCTGTAATCACAGCATTGTGGGAGGCTGAGGTCAGCAGATCTTACTAGCTCAGAAGTTCTAGAGCACCCTGGGCAATGTGGCGAAACCCTGTCTACCAAATACACAAAAATTAGCTGGGCGTGGTGGTGCATGTGGTCCCAGCTACTCAGGAGGCTGAGGCAGGAGGATCGCTTGAGCCTGGGAGGTGGAGGCTGCAGTGAGCCAAGATGGCGCCACTGGCCACACTCCAGCCTGGGTGACAGAGTGAGACTCCGTCTCTCAGATGTTTGTGAAGCAGCTGATGCCCGCCTTGGCTCCTACAGCTCCAGCGTAGACTGGGGCTTTTTCCAAGTCTTGCACTGAACACACCCGGGCTTTGACGTGCCTGTATTTCCCCACAGGGACCCACACACCTCCCTGCATCCGCGCAGCTTGCTCGGGTGGCTGGAAGCTGTCGACAAGCTTCACGTGCTGGCTCACCAGCTCTTTCTCTCGTCTCTAGGACTGGTAGCTTTAAGCGAATGGCGTGCTGTGGGATGAGTATGGCCGCCTGCAGGATGCACAGGGCTGCCTTGGAAGCTGGCCAGGGACTCCAGCGTCTGTGTTCATAAAGCACTTAGAACTGGATGGATGTTGTTCCTTTTTTGAAGTTGTTATTAAAGTAGGTGCAACAGCCAAGAAAGTGTCTTCTTGTGTGAAAGCCCGCCCCGTCTCGGGCGGCTCCGCACCTGCTACCTGTGCTGTGAGGACCGGGGGTGCTGAGTATGGTTCTCTGCAGAAAGAGGCCACGGTATGCAGCAACCTAGGTTTGCGACCCCGATCCCCCCACCTGTGGTGCCAGGCAAGCCTGGCTGCCTGCCAAGCACCGGGTGGAGAGACTGATGGAATTGTTCTGGGTAGTTCTAGGTGCTTTCTGCAAACAGCCAGGGTGGAGACCCACGTGCACTGGCTCTCAAACAAGGATGTGAGACTCCCTGAGAAACTGTCCAGACCTGGGGGTGGCATTGCACTTGGGTGCCAGGGCTCCCTTCCCACACTTCAAAGCAGACCCACGGTGGGGAGGCTGGACGTGCCCCACGGAGATCCACCCTCGTTCTCCTAACACATCCAAACAGAACCCAGAGCAGCCCGGGTGTCTGGTGGGAGCTCAGTGGCCTGGGGCTGTCACTGCCCATCTTCCATAAGACTGACCAGAAGCTCAAAAGAACTTAGAAAACCTGCCTGTGGCCAAACTTTTTGAGAAGCAGCTGTATGAATCAGCAAATATTTATTTTAAATAGTAAAAACTACAGTTTTATACATATTTACAAAAATGCTTTGCTATAGAAAAATAAAATCAGATCACTGAATCCGGCCCCATCCCAGGCGGAGAAGTTCGCCGTGAAGCTGTTTTCTCCCACACGGGAAACGCACAGAGCACCCTGTTCCCGCACACACGTCAGGGCACTGCTGCTACATGTGGCCGCCCAGCTGTCTGCAGGCTGTGCCGACTGCCGCCTCAGTCTCCAGGAAGCAGAGGCAGAAGTGGTCCTTGCTGAGGAGGGCTATCGAGTCTCCGCTTAAATGCCAGCACAGAGAAAGCACGGCAAAGTCACCTAGAGAGACAGGCGGTCAGAGGATTAGGGAGGGGGAGGCACAGATATTGGGGGCTGGGCACCCCTTGTCCTGCAGGCCAGCACAGTACCTGGAGTGACCCACATAGGCAGAGCCAGAGTGGAGCCCCAGAGCTGCCTCATATCAGGGAGGGGCTGCTTCTACCCCGTAAAGCCGAGGGCAACGGGTCCCCTATACACTGGGCGCCAGCCTTGAGGTTTACACAAAGACGCTGAGGGCAGTTTCCCTGGCTGGAGATGTCAGCTTCACTGGTTCTGCCCACGTGACGCCAGACTACACAGAGCAAGGCTGATGTGTCCCTGCCCACTGGGCTGCGCTCACCTTCCCCAGGCACCTGCACCGACAGGCAGCCCGCTGGGGACCACAGGTAGACCCTGCTGCCGCCCGTGCAGATGGCCAGCCGCGGCTGCTTCGGGTCCCACTGAAATGTGCGCACCGGGGACAGCTGCTCCAGCACCGCAAACAGCCTCAACTTCTGAATGTCCCAGACCCAGACGGCATTCGGGACGTTGTCTGAGGAGGGAAGAATAGAGCCCCGGTGTCATCCCAGCCCGTCTCCTCTGTGTCTGCTCCGCTGTGTACACCACCAGAGGGAGGGGAAGAACTGGATGGGGTGGGGAGGCTTGGCCCTGCAGTCTGGGTTCGGCTGGGCCCTGCAAGGCTCCTCGCCAGGGCCAGGGCGGCCACTGCGGGCTGTAAAGGGCCCAAGTGTGTGTTTTTCTTTGTGTGGTGGTTTTTTTTTTTTTTTTTTTACAGCCTTTTACACATGGAGAAACCCTTAACAAAAGACGGGCTGCAGTGTGTCCAACCCGGCTTTCTACTCGGTCGAGCGAGCAGGTGAGTGGGGCGAAGCACTCCTTGCTCACGCACAGGCTGCAGCTGCTGCAGGACAGGAGGCCCAGCGTCTCCAAGGAGCTTGTGGGCAGAACCTCGGCTACTGCAGAAACGTGGAAGGAGGTGGTGTGTAGGAAACCCCTAACTTTTCCTTCCAGTTGCTTCTACACCTGGGGCCACAGGACACGGTAAGGGGGGAGATGGCACCTGTGTCAGCCCAACTGACCGTTCCTCGTCGCCAGGAAGTAGCTGTCAGGACTGAATGCCAGCATTCCTATGCCGATTTTCGGGTTTGCTCTGTCAGTAACAGGTTTCAGTGTCTGTAAGGAGACTGGGACAGAGGCGATCTCATCTAGAACACCAACAGGAAGAACATGCCACTGTCACCCTTTCAGGAAGTATGCATGCGGCTAAGAGTCTGCTGTGCCTGCATCAGGCATTGAAAACCCGGCTCCTCTGTTCAAAGGGGAGGAAGAGCAGCCTGAGGGCAGGAGGAGCTGAGCAGACCCCGGCAGCTGCAGCGAGGGGCCTGCCTGCAAGTGCCCCGGTGAGAGTGGCACCTTCACCTGCCAGGCCCGACTAGGTCGGCGGTGGACCCTACAGCGCCACATGCTGCAGCAGACGGGAGAGGGATGTGGACAGGCCCCAGCTGCACTCCTGGCAGCTCCACCTCCTCGGCGCTTTTCTGTTGACTGCCAGCATCTGAGTTCACAATCCCTGCCATCTCAGCATCAGTACCCTTACACCTTTCAGCTGCAGAAAACTGTCATCACAGCAAAAGCAGAGGCTGTGGAACAAGCATACCCCTGGGCTCTTGGGGAGCACCTGCCACGTGCTCAGCTACACCCATTCTGACCTCTGTCCTGAGCACACACTGGGCCCAGGATGGGCCTATCAGCACTTGGGGCAGCTTCCTCTAAATGCAAACTTCAGGCGCCCCCGCACCCCTGTGGGGTGGGTGCTTTTACTGTGCCCATTTCAGCGATGAGGAAACAGATACACAGGAAATGCCCAGAGTCTAGAGGCTGCATCAGAACCGGCCTCAAGTCAGAGGCCTCCAGACCCACTCTGAGCTCCACCCATGGAAACACGTTTCCTTGAAAAACATCACTCTCGGAGCTCCTGCCATCAAATCTGGGTTTCCAGGGCTCATATTCAGTAACAAAAGCCGTGCCTTCACAGCCCACTGTGCAATTCAGACCCAGTCAACCTCCAGCCAACAGGCTCAGGGGCACACTGGCTGGGAAGAAGCACGGAAAGAAAAATGATTTTTTTAAAATAAGGAACATCCGAAATTTACCTGGACAACAAGGAATCTTGCATTATAAAAGGAAAACAAACATCACCACGTGTGGTACTTACATTTACTCTCTGAGGTTGGGAGAGGGCCAGCCCCGGCCCGGGGGGGCGGGAAGGAGAGGCAGCCCAGCCCCAGCTGCGGGCTCTTCTCGGCCTCCTTATACACCACCTGAAAGACAAGGTGGCCACGCCCAGCTCAGGAGAGGAACCCGGAAGCCGAGGACGGGTGTGGCAAATGCCTGTCATGACACCGGGTCCTGCCGTCACCAGGAGAAAGAGACAGAAACACAAATCTCACACTCCTGAGAGCTGAGATCACCCAGCCATCCTCTCCCGTATCCTGCTGGGGAGCCCACCTTTGAGACACCGGCAGCAAAGGTCTGCCCTGTGATTTACAGGCAGTAGACCACTGCAGCCACCATTATCCAGCAGGGCAGCGGGCTCGGCCTTGCTGCTGTGACAGGGGGCACAGAGGACACTTGGGCCAAGACAGTGCAGGCCTGGGAGCAGCAGACACAGGCCCGAGGTGGGGGCATCTGTGCCCGAGAGCCTGGCAGCAAAGGCCAGCGGCTCTGGTTCAGTGAAAGGCAGGCAGCCCCTGCGCCACTGTAGGGCTCCAGGTAAGGGAGTCACCTAGTCTGCTTTGTACCTTTAAAGCATGCCCTGCTGTGTGGTGAAGGGATTTGCAGAAATGTAGGAATCACAGGCAAACCTTCAGGACCCGCGCCAGCCCTGGTCTCTGGCTCATCTGTCCATATGGGCTGGCCTCCAGCCACACAAGCCACTGGCCACGTCAGAAGGCCCCTCTACCTGAAACATGGTGTCTGCCGAGACACTGTGCAGTTCTGCAGCTCCTCCTCCTGGTCTTCACTTAAATGCCCCTCCGGGACCATCCCCGGCAGTGGCTCACCTGGCCCAAGCAGCCCCAGCCACCCTCTGGCCTCATCAAATCCAAGCTGCCTCTCACTCAGCTCTGTCACTTAATACAGGTCAGCACCAGGAGGGTAGTGTTTGTCTCTGGCTCCCGCTGTTGCCCAGTGCAGTGCCCAGCACACAGGCGTGGCAAGTGCCCATTGCACGTGTGGACATGTGGCACACTCCTCAGGGCCTTTGCGCTTCCCGTTCCCTTGACCTGGAACACCCCCTCCCCAGACCCCTGATCACTTGTTCAGCGTGTGTGCCTGTGATCCCTGACTGGTGGCGACTCCCTGCCACCCCGTGGAGATACCCAGCTCTCCCACCCCCTCCCTGTCTCTCTAGCCGCACTCTGCAGGGGCAGGGGTCTGCCTGCTCTTCTCTGGCTGCAGCCCAGAGCACAGTGCCTGGCACGACAGCGGATGCTCGTGTTTGCAGGCAGGAGACCCATGTACTCAGTACAGCACAGGAATCTGCATCTGGACAGGCCAGGGAGACACCTGGGCTGGGGTGATGGTGGCGGAGGACAGGCCAGGGAGACACCTGGGCTGGGGTGTTGGTGGTGGCGGAGGATAGGCCAGGGCAAGGCCCACTTCAGACCCCTGGGCAGCATGGAGGAGGAAGAACAAAGGCCAGGGCAGGGCCAGACACGTGAAATATCACAGTCCCAAGGTGACAGTGGTGGAAGCGCCTGGTTAAATAAACCACCATCAAGAATGTGAAGTGAAGCGGCAGCCTCCCACCGCCCTCCCCAGCAGCCTGCTCAGGCAGAAGCACGTGTTCCAGACTTACTATCTTGGGATTATTAATGGCTACAGGATGCTCAAACTCCGTGATCATTTTCCACGTCACATGATTAAGGATGCGCACCTGAGGAAAGAAGCCATGCCCTGGTGAAGTGGGGGCCCAGGTGAGGCTGGTTCCAGGTGAGATAGCGGTCTGGGTAAGGAAGGGTCCAGGTGAGGCTGAGTCTAGGTGGGGTGGGGGCCCAGGTGAATCGAGGGTCTGGGTTGGGGGGGCCTGGGTGAGGTAAGGGGCCGGGTGGGGCGGGGACCAGGTGAAGCAGGGGACCGGGTGGGACAGGGGTCTGGGTTGGGAGGTGGGGTCTGGATGGGATGGGTCGGGTGTGGTGGGGGACGGGGACCAGCTAGCTGGGCAGTCAGCCTTCCTGAGCTCCCTGCACTGCTCCTACCTTTCCGTCGTAGCTCCCAACTGCCAGGAACTGACTGCTGGGACTCCAAGCTACAGACTTGATGCCCAGGGACCACTCATAGGCGCTGTATGCGGACAACAACCGGCCATCCAAGGAGTACAGCAGAACTTTGTACTGCAGACAAGACATTTCAGTTATGGATGCACACGTCCCATGCACCCGGAACACGCCACAGATGCGGGTGCGCAAAGGGACACGGCGCGGACAGCACAAGGCTGGCGGGAGGAAGTGCGCAGCGGAGACACAGAGACAGTCCGCATGGCCGTGGAAAAGCTGGGACTGTCAGCTGGAATTGACACAGTCACTGGAGGCGGTCAGAGTGTGAGGAAAAAGGGGAAAGTGGGAGGTAAACCTAATGGCTCGCTGATAAAAGTTCCACTCGGCCGAGCACCGTGGCTCACGCCTGTGATCCCAGCACTTTGGGAGGCCGAAGCTGGCAGATCACTTGAACACAGAAGTTCAATAGCAATCTAGGCAACATGGTGAAATCCCATCTCTACAAAGAACACAAATATTTTTAGCCGGGCCACACCTGTGTTCCCAGCTACTTGGGAGGCCGAGGTGGGGGGATCACTTGAGCCCAGGAGGTCGAGGCTGCAGTGGGCCATGATCAGACCACTGCACTCCAGCCTGGGCGACAGAGCAAAACCCTGTCTTTAAAAACAAATTCAATTCGTTATATGAAATAAGGCAAAGCTAACTATATTGCAACATTCAGAAAGCATTAAATTCAGGGAAAAGCTCTTGAAAGCAAGCATGTCACCTGGTCATCTCACTACCTCCAAGCAGGTGTCCCACACTGCCAGCACACAGCCGTTTGGGGCCCACTCGATCCCCGTGAGGTCCTGGGTGTCTGTATCAAAATGCTTCCAAAGGAAGCGGGGGACATTACATTGTGAAAACATTTTCACAAATAAATAATTGCATTTATAACTGATGCTTTTAACGCATTTAACTTTCTTATATAGAAATGGTCAAAATCTTGACAGCTCCATCCTATAAATGCATGAAATCCCTGTGGAGCTCTGCGGGGGCTGCACCCAGCACAGGTGCCAGCGTTGGTGCCTGGCCAGCCCACGAGGCGGCTTGGTCTCCCTGTGCCTGCACTCACATGCACTCTCCCTCACCCTTCCCTGCCTGGCAAGGCTCACTCCCTCAGACCAGCTCAGACAGGACCCTTCCAAGGGCACTGCCTGGGTCCCAGCTTCTATGCACTAACAACATTCCAGAGGCTGCTCTGCCTTAATGATGGATTGTGCTGGGATCATGTTCATACGTCTGCCATGGGGCAGCGCCCTGTGCCTGGGCACCTGGCAGAGAGCACTCTGCCTAACACAGGCCCTCAGTCAAGGTGAACTTCCACGTTGCCCTCCTCCCGACATGCCACACATGTGCAAACATCACAGTCACAGGACAAGGAGAAAGGCTCACATGTGATGGCCTAGTCACTTTAAAACACCCTAGGCATGCGCCCTTTTCACACAACCGGCGTGTGTCACAGGAGGTGATTCACAGTGCACCTGCCCTCTGGAAATCCAACATCGCCTTACTCCATATACTACCAAAGATCCCCTGGACTCTTGAGAAGGATCTGCTTCACTCGACCCCTCCACAGTCAACGGGACAATGTGGGGGATGCCTTACCCGCAGGAGCTGCCAGTCGCTGCAGACAAAGATGCTCACGTAATCTTTGCAGTCGCGCCGTTCCGCCAGCGCCATGTAGCGGCCATCCCTGGTGAAGGTGGTTCCTGCGGGAAGAGGGAAATGCACGGAAATCAAGCGGCCACACAACCAAGCAGGAGAAACCACAGTGTAATTCACAAGGAAGGAGAAAAAGAAAGCAGAGGTGAAGAGAAGGGAAGCGGCACAACGCCGAGCACCGCTCCTCAGAGGAGAACGTTCCAGTGCAGAGGAGAAACCCTGAGGCGCCGAGGCTTCACCCTCGAAGCAGTGTGAGCTGGGGGAGGGTTATATACACACAGCAACCGATTTGCAAGGCTCTGTCAAAAATACCAAGTGACGTGACCTTTGATGACTCAAATATAACTGAGACACATGAGGCCTTCGAGTTCCACATATCTAAGCTTCGGGACAGCAGGGGCGCGTCCACCTAGGCCAAAGGTGGTTACTTGCTACCGTGCTGATTTTTACCTTTGAACTTAATTATTTGGAAGAAATAAACGAAAGATGAAATGTGTGGCCAGGCATGGTGGCTCATGCCTGTGGTCCCAGCACTTTGGGAGACTGAAGCACATGGATTGCTTGAGCCAGGAGTTGGAGAGGAGCCAGGGCAACTTGGCAAAACCTCGTCGCTGCAAAAAATTAGCAGGGCATGGTGATGTGTGCCCATAGTCCCAGGGACTCAGGAGGCTGAGGTGGGAGGATCACTTAAGCCCAGGAACTCGAGGCTGCAGTGAGCTGTGATCATGTCACGGTACTCCAGCACGGTGACAGAGCAAGACCCTATCTCAAAAAAAAATTAAATAATAAGATGAAAATGTGGAAAAGCTTTAGTTGAAAATGTTACACTGTATTTTCTAGTTCTGTATTAGCTTAAAAAGCCCTAGCTAGAGCCGGGCGCAGTGGCTCACACCTGTAATCCCAGCACTTTGGGCGGCCGAGGCAGGTAGATCACGAGGTCAAGAGATCGAGACCATCCTGGTCAACATGGTGAAACCCCATCTCTACTAAAGATACAAAAAATTAGCTGGGCATGGTGGCGCGTGCCTGTAGTCCCAGCTACTCAGGAGGCTGAGGCAGGAGAATTGCCTGAACCCAGGAGGCGGAGGCTGCGGTGAGCCAAGATTGCGCCATTGCACTCCAGCCTGGGTAACAAGAGCGAAACTCCATCTCAAAAAAAAAAAAAAAAAAAAAAAGCCCTAGCTAGAGTTCATCATTCATGCGTGAAGAGAATACCTCAAATGACAAAATGTTGGCGTCTACTCAAGAAATGTGTATCTCATCTGTAGAGACACTCATATTCAAATGCTAAAAGTACAATTGCATTTCATTCAAATGCAATTTCCAAACCACCGGCAGCAATAGAGAAAAATGAAAGCGTCATTCAAACTGTGTGGCACTTCCTTCTGGCTCAGGATGCAGGAATGGCGCCTCCCACAAGCTGAGCTGTCCAGCTAGATGCGCTGGCAGTGGGCCACCCTGCGCAGGCCCCCTTTGTTCCACGTGGCTCACAGGCGTCCACAAGGAAGGGACACTTGTCACATATCCCTCCCGGATGCCTAGAGATGACAGGCAAGACCTCCCCCTTTCACAGAGAGGATGCTCAGAACTTGATGCTCAACAGGCATTGGCTGGAAGGGGTCTGAACGCTCGGCTCTGCTGCCGAGGTCAAGGGGACCGCCGTCAGCGCCACTCTTCCTGATGTCTTGGGCCACATTCTCTTGAGTCCCTGTGGTCATGTTTGAAAAGGGGACTCTTGCCTTTTTGAGACACATATGGAAATATCTACAGATGAAGTATTAGGAGACCTGAGATCGACTTTAAAATAACCCGAGGTGGGGTGGGTATACAGAAAACATGGTTGGCTATGAATGGATATGCTGCTGAAGCTACTGCTGCCTCTTTGGAACTTGCCATGACAAAAACGGCAGACAGCTGCAAAGAAATGGCTTTCAAGTAACTCTGGTCAACTCACCCTGCAGACAAGCTTTTGGATATTTGATGTAAGACACGGATTTTGTGCACAGCGACCAGACGGTTATCCGCAGCTGTTGGGGAAAAGGGAAACGAAAGGAAACACCACCACATTAGCATCTATAGAGCCATGTCAATCCTCACCTAGACCGTGCGTCCCCAGGCGTGGCCAGACTGCTGGAGTGGATCTGTCAGGACTTCAGGATGCCTGTTCTCCTATTGGTGTGTATTCAAATGCATGTTTTACTGTGGCTAAGGTACACTGAGTGCTCTGGGTTTGAGTGGATCTATCCAGACTTCAATGCCTGCCCTCCTACTAATGTACTCTAATGCATGTTTTACTGTGGCAGAGGGAAATGCAGTGCTCTGATGCACACTGTACTGTGGCTGAGGGAAATGCAGTGCTCTGATGCACGCTGTACTGTGGCTGAGGGAAATGCAGTGCTCTGATGCACACTGTACTGTGGCAGAGGGAAATGCAGTGCTCTGATGCACGCTGTACTGTGGCAGAGGGAAATGCAGTGCTCTGATGCACGCTGTACTGTGGCTGAGGGAAATGCAGTGCTCTGATGCACGCTGTACTGTGGCTGAGGGAAATGCAGTGCTCTGATGCACGCTGTACTGTGGCTGAGGGAAATGCAGTGCTCTGATGCACGCTGTACTGTGGCTGAGGGAAATGCAGTGCTCTGATGCACGCTGTACTGTGGCTGAGGGAAATGCAGTGCTCTGATGCACGCTGTACTGTGGCAGAGGGAAATGCAGTGCTCTGATGCACGCTGTACTGTGGCCGAGGTGAGTGCAGTGCTCTGATGCACGCTGTACTGTGGCCGAGGGAAATGCAGTGCTCTGATGCACGCTGTACTGTGGCCGAGGGAAATGCAGTGCTCTGATGCACGCTGTACTGTGGCCGAGGGAAATGCAGTGCTCTGATGCACGCTGTACTGTGGCCGAGGGAAATGCAGTGCTCTGATGCACGCTGTACTGTGGCCGAGGGAAATGCAGTGCTCTGATGCATGCTGTACTGTGGCTGAGGGAAATGCAGTGCTCTCATGCACACTGTTGTGTGGCTGAGGTGAGTGCAGTGCTCTCATGCACACTGTTGTGTGGCTGAGGTGAGTGCAGTGCTCTCATGCACACTGTTGTGTGGCTGAGGTGAGTGCAGTGCTCTCATGCACACTGTTGTGTGGCTGAGGTGAGTGCAGTGCTCTCATGCACACTGTTGTGTGGCTGAGGTGAGTGCAGTGCTCTGCATTTGCTGTTGTTGTTGTTTTATACCACTATTGAGTGACACACGGGTAAACATAAGTGCATTTTTGTTAGCTGTTTCAAAGTGATCACAGGTTGCATGTTACAACCCTGAGTTACTTGGAGAAAATCTTGATCTAGGAAGGCACCACATTCAGTCTCCTTTATGGGAAGACAGAGGGTCTGGAGAATGCGGCCTCTCCGGGGCTCACCAGGTGGCTGTGAGCCTGCATCTGCAGCCCTGAGGCAGGAGCAGCCACTCAACACCCAAGAGGGTGGCCGCCAGCCTCCTGTGTGAGCTTGCCAGCCTGGCCGCATCTGCAGAGAGTTCTAGAACATGCACTGCTGCACTGTCCACCTTTCTGCCCCTATCCCTGACTCAGGAGCTGAGAGCTGACTAGGCAGGCACAGTGAGGCCAAAAGACAATTTCCTAACCAGGCCGAGAGGGTGTGCCTGCTGGGGGGAGAGGCGGTGCAGTGGGTGGCCCGGTGCTCCCTGTGGCAATGCCATGGAACTTCCGGGACTGCCGCAGCCCTCCACCTGCACTTCCCACTGAACCCCTGTGGAGCCCATCAGTGAATATCTTGCTTCTGACATACCCAGCCCACTGATGAACCTGGCAGTTAACTGACGTGTGACCCAGGTGGGGGACACAGGGCTGCGCAGCTCCATGTGGGGTGAGGCGCTGACCGCCAGCTCTGTGTGTGTTAGGCAGGGGTCCTCGCTGAGAATGATGATCAGGTGGGGGACATGGGGCTGCATGGCTTCATGCAGGGTGGGGTGCTGACTGCCAGCTATGTGTGTGTCAGGCAGGGGTCCTCACTGAGGATGAGGGCTGGGTGGGGGACACAGGGCTGCGTAGCTCCATGTGGGGTAGGGTGCTGACTGCCAGCTGTGTGTGTCAGGCAGGGGTCCTCGTTGAGGATGAGGGCCGGGTGGGGTCTGCCTCCAGCAGCATAAGTGCAGCCGCAGTGTGTGGAGCACTATGTGTCCAGTGTCACTCCAAACACCACCAGGTTTTCGGTATAGGATATCAACAAACAAATTAACTTAAATGTCTACTCATCATCTCTTCTTACGAGAGAAAGGAGAATCCGATGCCTGTAACTGTGTCTCCAAACAACATCCACAGCGATCAGGAGCGGAGTCCTGGACACACAGGTCCTGAGTCAGTGAGCCGCGGGGATCACCGGGGCGGCAGGGCAGGGCCCCTGTGCGGACGCTGAACCCAAACACTCTGGCCATTCTGGGGACCGGTGCCTCAGAACTCCAGCTGGACAGAGCACTGGCTCCTCTATCAGCTCCGCTCGCATGCTGGGGCCTCGGTGTGAAAGCGTGCTACTTCCGACCAGCAGGTCTGAGGCGGAAACCCTGCCTGTGACTCATCCGCAGGGCTGGGTGAAGCAGCAGAGCCTCTCAGCATCAGGAGCATCCTCGTGCCACCCAGGGTGGAGACCCGCCCTCCGGAACTCACTGCAGGGTCACAGGAGAAAAGTGCATCACCCACCCATGGCCCTGCATCCCTGCAGGGTGTGCCTGGCTGAGCCTCCCTGCTCTCAGCACATCTTAGGAAATGCACAGAACACTTTAAGCCTGATTTTTACCTTCATGTCCCACCAAAAAAGAAAAAACAAAAGAAAACTTTTAAAAGATAACTGTTTGCAACTTTTAAAAACATAGTAAGAAAAAAAGGTAGTTAAATATACACCTTCATCAGCGCTGTTACCTTCTCCTGACAACTCGCAAAACCAGCAGAGGAGACACACGGGTGGGCTCCACAGCACTCAGCAGCAAGAAGAAAGGACCACGGATCCACACCACAACCCAGCATGCTCAGGATGGGAGGAACAGGCCACTGACCCACACCATGATTCAGCATGCTCAAGACAGGAGGAATGAACCACTGATCCACACCATGACTCAGCGCACTCAGGACAGGAGGAACAGGCCACTGACCCACACCATGACTCAGAGTGCTCAGATGGGAGGAAGAGGCCACTGACCCACACCATGAATCAGCACGCTCAAGACAGGAGGAATGAACCACCGATTCACACCATGACTCAGCATGCTCAGATGGGAGGAAGAGGCCACGGACCCACACCACACCCCAGTGTGCTGAAGACAGGAGGAATGGGCCACGGATCTATGCCATGACTCAGCACACTCAAAACCAGCAGGACGCCAGAGGAAAGAAAGCAGACACTCAGCTCTATGCACCATGGACCCTGCTGATGGGATCCTGATGAGGTGGAGCTGCTAGGCACGCAGCAGGCACCAGCTGCCAGGCACAGGCTGGAGAAGGACTGAGCACAAGGGGCACAAGGAGCCCTTAACCACGGGGTGAACCTTCTCAGTCTTCATCGTGGCATCAAGGACGTGTAAAGTGACTCACTGAACTGTACTCTTAAAGTGGGTGGATTTTATTGCTGATAAGTTGTTTTAAATGCTTTTATTCAGAAATATAAGAAAAAGTTTTCAGTCTAGATATATGTTTAAAGCTAACTACAGACTAATTACAACATACACACTCAAGTTTAAGGATATAGAAAGGTAGAAGGATAGAAAAAGACATATCATGAAAATCCTAACCAAGAGAAAGGTGGCATCGCTACATTCGTACCAGAAAAATCAGAATCTGAAACAAAAAGAATCATGAGACATAAAGAGGAATACTTTACAAAAAAGGTCCGGTGGAAATCACGAAAACTGTTTCACTATGAAATCTGTTTAGAAACAGTTAAAAATCTGTATCCAGCTAACAACAAAGTCTCAAAAATACATAAAAAAATTTAGCTGAGCTGAGCGCACTAGTGTGCGCCAGTAATCCCAGCTATACAGGAGGCCGACCAGGAAGGACTGCTTGAGTTTGGGAGTTCAAGACCAGTCTGGGAAACAAAGGGACACCCCCATCTCTACAAAAAAAAAAATTTTTTTTTTAATCTGACAGACTATAAGAGCAATTAAGAGGAATCAGTGCTGTCAGATATTCAGACATACACAGAACCTCAATAACATACACAGTATGGCATTGGTACACACGTGGAGCAACAGCAGACCTGAGTGGAAAACCAGAAGCAAGCCTGCAGGCATTGTGGAATTGAGTTCCTGCTACAGGTGGTGAAGATCGTCTTCTAAATAAATGCTGCTGGGAGCTGGGCATGGTGGCTCATGCTGTAATCCCAGCACTTTGGGAGGCTGAGGCGGGCAGATCACCTGAGGTCGGGTGTTAGAGACCAGCCTGACCAACATGGAGAAACGCCATCTCTACTAAAAATACAAAATTAGCCAGGTGTTGTGGCACACGTTTGTAATTCCAGCTACTTGGGAGGCTGATGCAGAAGAATTGCTTGAACCCGGGAGGTGGAGGTTGTGGTGAGCTGGGATGGCACCACTGCACTCCAGCCTGGGCAACAAGAGCAAAACTCCATCTCAAAAAAACAAAATGCTTCTGGAAAAGGTAGAAGGGATTCATACTGCATACCATGCACTGCTATAAACTCCACGTGACCCTACTTCATTTAAATGGAGGGCGTGTGTGTAATGAAACAAGATAGGAGGGCACTCAGCCTCACCAATTACTCCGGAAATGCAAACAAAAGCCAAATGCAGTATCATTTAGTTGCCTGGATGGCAGTCACCGCAATCCTGTCACCAGGTCTCAGCAAATGAAACATCTCCTTCCGCAACAGCCAAGCAAGGCTCTCCTTGAGAGGCTCTCGGGAAATGCATCCAGGAGGCATGGACAGCGCACTTGCAGCCACAGTGTGTAGCGACGCACAAGTCCAGTTGGGGAGGACTGAAAGGAGCTCCTCACGAGGAAGGGAAGGCCCAGCCATGCCTGTCTGCACTGAGGAGTCTAAAAGCAGTGTCGGGACAAAAGCAACGCCAGAGACTTTGCAAAGTACAAGCCCCTGTAAATAAACTTTAAACTGCACACCAAGCAACACGGTGTTTATACACATCTGCACAGTGAGACTCAAGAACAGCGAGGACACAATTCATGCAAGACGCAGGACGAAGGTGCCCTCAGGTGGTGAGGGCATCGTTGCGAGGGGGACCAGGGCTTTGAAAGCGTGCTGGTCCGCTGCAGGCTGAAGGTGAGCTGCTTTTTATTATTCACCGAACCTTGTTAAAGGGCACAAGCTTGCTTTTTCAGATTATGTACAAGATGCTCCACAACACCAGCATGTGGGGTTGTGCCTTCGGAAGGGGACCCAATGACCTGCTAATCCTCAGAGAACTGGCCTGATCCTCCCTCGCATTATGAGACCGATGGACAGGTACCTGCAGAGTCACCTCCCGGCCAGCAAGCACGTCTGGAATACCAGTTTTGCTTCCTCACTTGCAGTCATTTCAGTTAGCAAGAAAAGCTGGAGACACAGTTTGGTATCTTGGTCAAGATGCCAATGCCAGGAGTTACTGCCCCTCATCTACCATCTAGTCTGAATGTTTAAGGCCACCAGCAAAGTGGTCAGGACCTTAGTCTTAGGTTGAACTATGTCATCTAAATGTACTCTGAGAAATCAGTGTATTCTGTAGCGAAGGTGTTTTTCAATATTGGTGTATGTTTACGGGGGATGCTCAACAGAACCAGGTACTAACACATCTTTCCAGGTTTCTAACCTCTGTAGATGGTAATTTGCCTTCCGGGCCATTTCACAAGAGTACAGCAAGGCTGACCCGTGCCGAGAGCCCTTCTCAAGGACAGAATTACAGGCCCCAAGACGTTAGAAAAGCTGCAGGAAAAGTTCAAATGGTCCTCTCTCAACACTTGGGCTGGAAGTGCCTTCCAACGTCATGTACATCGTACGGAGAAACTGGTGTGCCTTTGCCTGTCATCTTTTTCCTCTCACAGCCCATGATAGCAGATGTGAGATCTAGAGTATTTTTAAAAATTGAAACTGAAAAGAACATGAAGCCATCCAGCCTCTGAAGCAGTTGATTCAGCAACCCCTCGTGGTTGGATAAACATTGGATAAACATCCAGCCGATGCCAGCTTGAAGAAACCCGAACAGGCTACAGGGCCTCTGCAGCCTCATGTGGCGAAGAAATCCTCCCCCAGGCCATCATCTATGTGGTGTGCATGGTGCACAGGGGTGGGCAGGTCGCAGAGGCAACCAGCAGCCCAGACAGCTGCGAACACTCAGCGGACAGGCCCAAACCCTGGGAGCTAACCCCATCAGAAAAGCGCGTTATTAAAGGGATGCGTGCATTTTTCTCTATCTTTAAAAGACACTGCTGACACCAAAGACCTGGTATCTGAACACTTTACAAATGCCTAATTTTAATTTAAAATAAAATCTCCTACCCCAGATCCCTCTGCTTGATTCTCGGATGTCAGCATTCCCCTCCACGCTGAGCTCAGCACAGAGGCTGGCATGCAGTGCCTATCACAGGTGAGTGGACGGCTGCCAATGCCTGGAGCCACCCCCGAGACCAGGTTCATATCACAGCGCATTTTCTACTGCTGAATTAAAGGGACTGCTGAAATCCTAAAACATCCTAATTAAGATGTTAAAAATGTTCTTTCTTTAAAACTGGACAAAAAGATTAGACAACAATACTTAGTGGCTTATCAGGTTCTGACCTAAAATACACACACAGTCTGTAAGCTCCCCGTGATCCCTCAGCCTTTCAGGAGCCCCCTCAGTCATGAGACCCAGGGGCAGCACGCAGTGCTTGTGTTCACGACACCCTCATCAGACTCAGTAACAGCCCCAAGTGCAAGCAGTGATGCTGGCAAACTGGACACGCCAACGAGAAGCTTCCTTTAAATGAGAAGCTTGAAGTTCTTGACTTAACAAGGAAAGAAAAAAAAAACCTCACATGCTGAGGTAGTTGCTAAGCTCGTCAGTAAGACCAAATCTTGTAGGCATGCAGCTATCAACAGCCTACTGTTAGACTGTGCCGTCTTACTATGGTTGCTAATCTCTTGCTGTATCTAATTGATAAACTAAATGTGTCACAGGAATGCTGTCTAGGAACATGGGGAAGGACAGGGGTTGGCACCATCTGAATCTGCTGGCCGGCTTAGAACCCATCCCCTGAGGACAAGGGAGACTCATCCTCCAAACACGTCCGCTCTCACTCTCAGGCTATGTCGGGAGCGAAGGGCAGGATCACTTGGCCAGTAAGGGGTACTCGGGACTGACACTTACATGGAATTCCGTCGTGTTGAGAATGTGGCGCCCGTCCGGACTCCAGCACGAGGCCACTAGCCCTGCTGAGCCCTCGTCTATTTTGCAGTGCCATTCGGGCTGCTCTAAAGACCAGACCTGGATTGAGAGGAGAGAGAAATGCACAGGTGCAGACTCATCAGCACCCGACAGCAAGGCATTGCTGAGACAGAACTCGCTTCAAACCAACAGAGCTCAAGCATACAGGGTGTCTTTTAGAATCTTCCACGATGAAGGGCTGGTCTGGATTCCACTGTAAAAGCAGCCAGGCTTCTTGGTGATTTCATTCCGTGGTTGTTTTAAAACGGTTTATTCACACTGTCATTCCTAAGACCTAACGTAGTTAAGCTTTGGACATCTAAGAAAATAGGACCTCTTAGGACTCCCTAAAAAAATACAACGTCCAAGAGGCTAGACTGCTGTTTGTCAGCACCTCCCGTTTCTGAACTATACTGCTTAGAAATTAAGACTACGTTAGTGTTTCCTTAGTGTAAATGTTCTCACAGAGAACATTATAACCTTAAAAGAAACTGGTTTTCAGCTGCACTGACTTTTTTTATTCAAACTAGAAAGGGACAGAACAAAGCCATTTCTTCCCAGTGACACTCAGGAAGGTGTCCAGATTCGAACCGACCCAGCGACACACACCTGCACCAGCCCTCGCTTGTACATGGCGCACAGGATGAAGAGCGAGTCTGCTGACCACTCGATGTGCTGGATCTGGTCCAGGCACGTGTACAGCTGCACAATCTGAAGGGTGTTCACATCCCGGACCACTAACCGGTACTGGACACAGGAAGCCTAAAAAACACAAGAAAGCAAGCACCTGACATTCTCCGCTCTGAAAGCTGGGGGCCTTCAGTGACTGCTCTCCTGCCAGACGCTTCACATCTAGATCATCAGTGACAGCTGCAGCCCCTAAAGATCAGTTCATACAAGGGTAATGTTGAAATACACAAGCCAGGTTTTTAAATTGCTATACTCTAGTGTAAAGTATAAGGGCACTTTTTAACTTGCTACTTAGAGCTTTAGGATATTTTTAAGTCCCTTCTTAACTGTATGTTAAAAACTAAACTTAAATGGGAAGTAGCATTGGGAAAAAGCTCTTTTGTGAACCAATAACCAAAACCCCCTCCTAGTTTTATCACTTTTAGGCAATTTCCTCACACTTATAAAGGGTAAGAATCAAGGCTTCACAGTTGACAACAAAAATGGCAAGGAATGCAACAATCCTCTTTCGTGGTGCCTGACTCGGAGCCAAACCAACAGATGATCCAAAGACAGCCTTTAACTTCTGCAAACATAAGGACGTGCCATAAATGCTCATTCACCTACGTTAACCTCTTCCTAACACAAAACACGAAACGCTTCAGTGTTAGCACAACTTCCTGAAAGACAGTTTCTTCAGGGCCGTATTTGTTCATTATGTCCCTATCTAAGCAAATAATCTTAAGTATAAATAACGTCTGAGTACTCACCTGCTGACCCTATCTTACACTACAGTTTAAAGATCAAGAATGGATTTTGACATGTTAACTGCTTCATTAGTTTCACTTATCAAGGTCAAACTGGTTTGTGTTTTTATGAACTAATTTCAAAAAAGAAATCTACATTAGTTTCCATGGAAAAAAAGAGAGACGGGCAGGGGACCATAGACTGAACAAGCAACTATCACGGCACTGACTTTCTCGCATTGCAGCTTTGAAAACTGTGATCAGTTGCAGTGAGTTCCTTATGAAACGGAACCATATAAACTCTGCTGTAAGATATGGAAACTAGAAACATGGACCTGTTCCACCCAGTACTTAGGGAAAGGCTTTCAAGGAGATGACTCCAGTAACAGATTATCACCAAGTGCTTCACCGTATTTTGACCAGAGTGTACAAACAAAAAAACACCTAAGTTAGGCAAGCAAATATCATCTTTCTCCTTATAAGTCACTGACATTTTCATAAATGGTGAAAACAACAAACCTCCAAGTTAATTGGGGGGGGGGGGGGGCACACTGAAAAATATACCAAGACTGAGGTGCCATTTAAACTAATGAGGTTTTCTGTTTTGTAGCTGATGCTATTTTTTGTGATTTGGAATAAAACCTCTATGAAGAGGTAAAAACGAAATTTGAGAGTTAAATTCTCAAAGGCCAGACAGAGCACGGGAATGTCATAGAGGCAAAACTGAAAAAGAATCATGACGCTTCAGTCAGTTAATAGAGGTGGTGGATAAATAAAGTGAAACATGCTTCCTATGAGGCATGTTTTTTCTTAGTGGCTTTCCAATGCCAATTACCCCCCGCCCCTTCTGAGGATATACACTACTAGGCATTCCGGTAGTACACTGTGTGTTTGAAGCTTAAAGTTACAGCTCTGTGATTTAAGCACCTTTCTGCCACCCATGGAATAAAGAGCTCAAATCCCAGCCGTGAGGACAACTATTTCCTTACCTGGGGATAGAATACTCGTATTTAAATCATTTATTGGGCACACCTTAGAGGAGAAGTAGAGAAGACAGCGAAGTGGCCACACCACTTCCCAGTTACGGGCAACAGAATGATCAATTTGTCTTTTGTGACAAAATAACAACCAAGAGCCAACATCTCCTGTACCCTCACCTGTGTGCAGTCGGCACTCCCTATACTCACTTTTCCAGGGGCAGGGAGGCTGGCACCTCCCCAGGCCCCCACCTGCCTAGGGTATCTTCCTGAGTCCCACACCCTTTCGGGACACCTGACCGCGCCCCACACCTGCTTGGGGGACCTCCCCAGGCCCCCCCCCCATCTATCTAAGGTATTCTCAAGTCCCGCACCTGCCTGGGCATCTGCCGGGGCCCTGTGTCTGTCCAGCCCACACACCTGCTTGGGGTACCTGCCCGGGCCCCACACCTGCTTGGGGCACCTCCCCAGGCCCTCTACCTGTCTAGGGTATCCTCCCGGGTCCCGCACCTGTCTGGGGCAGTTACTCAGGCCCTGCACCTGCCCGGGCCCCGCAACCGCGGGACCCCCAAGCTGCCTCCACCGCTGGGCCACGCGGCCGCCCCATGGCTCTGCCCGCCAGGGACGCCGGCACAGAGGATGTCGTGCCCGCGGCCCCCGCAGCCACTGCTCACCAGGTACTTGCCGTCCGGTGAGAATTTGCAGAGTAAGCCAGAGAGCTTAAACACCTCGGAGAAGTTCATGGCCGCCGCCAGCCGCGGGCGCCAGTCTGCGCCCGAAAACCCGCGAACCTGGCCAGCAGCAGTTCGCAACTGTAGCCGCCGCTGGCCTTCGAGGCCGGAAGTCAGAAGACGGAAGTGAACCGCAGCCTATCAGCGCCGCAGGAGGCCGCGCGGCATTGTGGGGCTTGTATTTTTCCTTGTACCGCAGGACTTTAAAGGAGAAGCCCACGTTTCTTCGGACCCGGGATTTCCTACCCAAGAATCCTGCCTCAAAGGCCCGGAGACCTTGAGGTCCCCTCCAGCTAGGACTGCGGATAAAATATAGGAAGCACAGTAAAATTTGAATTTCAGATTTACAACAAATCGTTTTCCAGTATAAGTATGCTCCCAAATGTTGCACGGGACATGCTAATATGGAAAAATTATTCGCTAAACGGAAATTCAAATTTAATTGGGCAAACTGTGTGTCTGCGTGTGTATACACATACATATATTTTTATATTTACATGTAAAGGTTTGTTTACATATAAATATACGTTTGCATATAAATAGATCTTTAGCATGTCATACGGTGTCTGTCACACATATTATATCACATATGAAATGCATAAGTATTTATTTCGTTTGCTTGGGGTTTTGTTTGCTTTTGCTTAGTCTGGCACCCCTACCTGCCGCCTGGCCCTTGCCTCACGCTCCAGTGCCACTGAGATCCAGGGAAGAACGAATTTGCCGCTGACTGGGCAGAGCGAGCGCGTGGATCGCGGGCACTGCCCAGTGCATCACCCGCGCGCATCTGGGCAGTCACCCTACGAAGAATCGCGCGGAAGCCGGGACCCGGGGTCCCAGCCGCAGCCGCCCCAGGCACCGGAGGGAGCGAGCCCCTGAGCCGGCACTCGGTCTGCCGGCTCGTAGGCTCCCAGGCTCCCAGGGCTGGGCCTTGTCCTCTCGCCCACTCCAGACCCTGGTCCTCTTCCCTGGAGAGCGGCCTCCTCCACCCCTGGCTCACGCCCACCGCTAGTAGTCCGCTCCGGGTCCCGCCGGCGCCTCTAGGGCCCTCCAGACGGCGTAGACTCTGACACCCCCGCCCGACCCTGCCTTCTGGGAGCTGAGAGCCGGCCAGGGTCTTCCTGCTCGCACCTCCGGGCGCCCAGCCTCGGGCCTGCTCCCCGCCGACGCCCCAACCTCCCAGGCCGAATGGATGGTGGTGAGCGCGCGTTCTACTCTGGTGGTGCCGGCCTTTTCTGTTCCCAGCTAGACCCAAACCCCTGCATGGGATTCGCCTCTGTGTCCCGTCCCTGGGCGCCCACGCTCCATGCGTGAGCAGTAAGGCCGTGTGGAAGTCAGCCAGACCCTCCGGCTCAGGCGCGGACCCGCTGCGGCCAGAGAATCCAGTCTGCACTAACCCGGCTTGCTCGCGAGGCCGCGGGATTCACCGACGCGACCTTCCAAGACGTGGGGGTCATCATGGGCAGAGGGCACCGGTTCGGAGACAGATTACGGGTCCCATAAGCACAGACCATAAGCAGTGCTGCCACTTAGAGCCGCTCGGAACTCGCCCTGCCTTTCGGATCCCCCGACCAGGGCCCGCTGTACCCGGTGGAGGGCCCTGGAAGCCCAGCTGGCCTAGGAAGAGCAGGCGAGCAGGCGGCGGGTGTCGCCGGCGGGTAGGGAGGCTGGGCCTGACCTGGAATGGGTCTGTGCGCGCGGAGAGTAATTGCAAGCGCACTGACGCCCCCCAGCTCCTACCAAACACCTCAGAGCCCGAGGCCAGAGGCGGCGGCCGCGGGAGGGAGCAGGGTGCTGGGCGGTACCCGGGTGTGTTTGCGTCCTGAGTTAACCCTAGAAGGCCGTGGGGCCCAAACTACTGCTGAGGTTGGGAAAGCAGCACCCGGAGGGTCTCCGCGGGATCCTCTGCCGGGTGGGGCCGCGGCTCAGCTAGTGGAGTGGATGGCGGGCCCTGCCCCGCGGGCTGACCACACTGTTCCCCTCCTCCAGGTCCCGGGGCGGCGTCCCTCACCCCAGTTCCCTGCCGGCCACATCCCCTGCCCCTTGGCTTCCAAGCGCCCCACGCGCCGAGGGTCCCAGCGCAGTGGCGGCGGCCTGGAGACCCGGGTGTCTGGGAAGATGAGCCGTCTGGGGGACACCAGAGTCGGGGCGCAGAGTCCGCACCTGCGCCTGGCGCGCCCGCACCGGCGACCCCAGACCTGCCGAAGGTCGCGATCAGCTGGCCCGCGGGAGGGCCCTGGCGTCCAACCTGCTCCGGCCCTGCCTGGGCGACCTCGCCGGACTCCGCGGGGGCGACGCGCGCCTAATGGCGGCGGGGAGGAGGCGGGGCGGAGCGCGCCAGGGACCCCGACTCGGACGCGGCCAGCTGGGGAGGCGGAGCGCCGGGAGGAGACCTGGGCCCCGGCCCTGCCCTCCTCCCGCCGCGGCTCGGTGGCCCGCGCTGCCTTCCCGCGCGCCGGGCTGCAAAGGCGCTAACGCCCGCGGCCGCCTCCTCCCCGCGGCGCCTCCCCTCCCTGCGCCCATATAACCCGCCTCGGGGCCGGGCCGCCCGTCCTGCCTTCCCTCCCGCGCACCGGACCGGAGGCCTGCGCGCCGGCGAAGGGGACGCAGCGAAGCCGGGGCCCGCGGCAGGCCGGCCGGGACGGACGCCGACGCCCGGGGCTGCGACGGCTGCAGGTAGGCGGCCCGGGGCCGAGGGCAGCAGGTGCCTGGGCGCGGGGCAGGTGCCTGGGCTCCCGGCTCCGAAGCTGGGAGGGGAGGAGAGGGAGATAGGGGTCGAGCTGGGACGTTGCGACCCAGGGGCTCCCTCAGAGCTGGATCGGTCCCTGGGACTTGGCGCGAGGGGTTGGAGCGGCCAGAGTGGAGTCCGCTAGGAGACGCGGGTCCTGCCCACAGCGCAGGCCGACTTTGGCGCCAAAAGCAGCCCCGCAGGGGTTCCGGGAGGGCCTCCTCTTGTGCCCCCTCTCCGCCCCAAGTTCCGAAGGCCGTGGGAGGGCGACCACAGGAAGAGGCGGAGGTGCTGCGGAGTGCGGGTTCATTTGGAAATCGCCGGCGAGCTCCTCCGCGCCCGCGCGCTCCCTCCGACCTGCAGGACTGTGCCAGTCCCGAGGCGTTGGCTGCCCGGACAGCGCACGGCGGAGGAGCCACAGCCCTCCCCTGGACAGGGAGATGGATCTGGGCAGGGGCCGTGACCCGTGGAGTCGGTTACTAAGCGGTTTCCACGGTTTCCCGAGGGACAGCGCTCCCTGTGGCTCTGAGTTTGTCGGTAGAGGGCTCCTGGCATGTCTCCGGAGCCGTCCCAGGTAGAGAAAGGCTGGGAAGAAAGGCCCTCGCCGGCCTGGAGGGAGACACCATCGCCCGCTTAGCTCCTGGGCCTCCCCCTCCTGCAGCCACCGCCTTTCCGGCTGCTTGGACTGCGGGAGAGACGATTACCTTCACTTAGCTTGTATTCTGGTCTGGACACTAAGGGACAAGCCCACGTAGTATGCACATGTTTGCTAAATAACCGGGAGACAGGTCGACAATCTTCAGCAAGGGTGCAGGGAAAAGCGCGCACCCCGAGCTTCTGACCAGCGGTCATTTCCTTCCAAGCGTGCTTCCATCTGTCTGCACCTGCGGGAATGGTTCAGGCTCGTCGACTGTGCTTCGGTTTTTGTTGTTTTGTTTTTTGTTGCTGTCGTTGCTGTTTATTTGTTCAGCCTTAGCTCCTGGGGAAAAGGAGACGGTTAAACAAAGCGCAGGGCCTCTGTGACGCTTACTGAGCGCTGAGCAACCCCTCTTGATTTATTAAAAGATTCAAAAGCATTGCGTTAAGAACAGGACACGGTGTTCGAAGTGTTGCCATATATGAATGTATGAATTACATGTGTGATTTTTACAACAAGATAAAAAGCTGGCTGGGCATGGTGGCTCACGCCTGTCATCCCTGCACTTTGGGAGGGTGAGGCAGGCAGATCAGTTAAGATCAGTTCGAGACCAGCCTGGCCAACATGACAAAACCCCATCTCTGCTTAAAATACAATAATTAGCTGGATGTGGTGGTGGGCACTTGTATTGCCAGCTACTCCGGAGGCTGAGGCACAAGAATTGCTTGAACCCAGAATGGAGAAGGTACAGTGAGCTGATATCACACCACTGCACTCCAGCCTGGGCAGCAGAGTGAGACTCTGTCTCAAAAATACGATTAAAAGTCGGTGCCAGAGGCCGCACTGTGGCACTGCCTATTGTCAGTCAGGGGCTGCCTGGGGTGAGCGGAAGGCAGGCCTGAGCAGGGCTTGTCTGTGAGCTGCAGCCTCCCAGGATGGCCATGATGCCAGTCCTGCCTTGCAGTCCTTCTAGTGAAGGCTATGGCGAACAGGGAGCTGTGTCCAAATCCCGAACGCCGGTCCCATGGAGAAGCTGGTCTGGCACAGTGGGTAATGGGGTAGTGTGGAAGTCAGAATGCTGGGGCTCCAATCTCTTCCCCATTTACTCCAGCAAGTCACTTAACCACTCAGAACCTCAGTTTACCCATCTGCAAAGTAGGGTACTAAGTTCCTGCCTCAGAGGCTTGGAGAACAGTCAATGAGGACCATCCAAAGTGCTTGGGAGAGTGCCTGGCACCCACTCAGTGTCCCCACACATGATGGTTTCAGGTCCTAGGTGCTGTTCCAGAACTGGGAGAGCCAGGAGGCCTGGAGAGACACCCGAGTCCTTAGTAGCCAGTAGGTCTCTCCAGGGCAGGAGGGATGGCAGCAAGGCAGGCATCTGTCTGAGGCGTGGGTGGAGGCTGATGGCATCTGTTAGAAGTAGGCACTGTGGCAAGGATGCCTGCTTTAGTGCTTATTTATAGGGCATGCCACACCCAGGTCCAAGAATGGATTGATAGTCCAAGCACATGTGAAAGGCAGAGCTAAAGTAGAGAAGAAGAGAAGAGGCTGAGGTCCGAGAGAGGAGCCGCACACCCACTCCAGAGGCTGGACCTGGCCCTGCCCTTGCATCATGGTGGTGTTAACCCTGAAATTCTGAGCATCCAAAAGTGACATTGCATGCACGGTGAACCTTGGGTTTGCAAAAACTCAGAAAAAGTCTTCAAAGCATCCTTTAAGGCCAGGCGCGGTGGCTCACGCCTGTAATTAGAGCACTTTGGG